CCCAACTGTAACAGTCCTAGCCTATGGAGCTACTTTATTTATTACATTATTTATAGATTAGTGCTTCTATGTTCCTTTTTTGTATTACTGCTTTTATCTCCTTGAACCCACAGTCAGCTTTGGCGGAAGGCCATTAACACTGAGCCTGGTTCAGCTATAGGTTCCTCCTTGTTAGAACAGAGTTTTTCTTCTTCACTGTCGCTGCATGCATGCTCAGTTCAGTTAGTATCTGCTGTCTCCACATGCTTATCCAGGAGGAGCTAATCCTGAGTCAAAGACTCCATGCAATCAGCTGATTTTCCTTGGATAGAAAACTTTCAACCAATTCAACATTTTGATCCAACTGAATTGTCTCTGTAAAGTGCCCTGAGATGACATGCAATCTGAACTATTGCTAAATAAATAAACTAAATTGAACTAAAATGCATTTATATGTTAATTCACAATTGCATTCATATAAAAAAACCTCCACTAAGTTGAAGTTAAAAACCTAATTTGCTCTCAACTTTAATTTAAAAAACAATAAGAATTATTAAAAGATATTTTAAGATCAATATAATATATCTATTATTCACACATAGATATTAGAATTCAGTCTAAGAGGACAGTTACCCTATAAAAATAAGCTTGAAGCAGGCATTAAATATACTATCAATTAAGCCCATGTTTTAACTATTGCATTTATTGGTCTGGCACATTGTTCGGACCTGTAATGGCAGGTTTCCAAGAACTGTAGCTAGAAAATAATCATTATTAACCAAAATAAAAGCTTGAAACATCAGAATGTGTAACTTATATAGTTTTTACTTATAAAATTTAATTAAATTTTCAGAATTGCTCTGCTCAGTGAATTAGCGGGGAGAAGAAGAGAAGCTGATCTTAACCACCGAGGATGGAAATAACGTTAACCTGAGCTCCACGTGTCTGATCCCAATAATTTACAATAAGCCCACATCAGATACAACATTTAGTGCTAAATGTGAACACTTGTACTCGTTCTTGATTTTAAGAAATCTTGTATAGGACATCCCGACATGTTACTGCAGCCAAAACTACAAAACATAGACTGTTTCCAGAAAGAACAAGGGGAAAAAGATGCTAAGGTAAGAAATAAACATGAGGAACCAATCAAATTTAAGAACTGATACGGAAAAAAATAATGTTATGTGATTTTTTTAAGGCCTTAGATAAAGTTGGATTAATAAATGTAAAAATTTCTGAGTTGTTAAAGAACTGACCCAGTAAATATGATGTGCACGACCAAATGTCAAGATATTACAACCCGATCTTCGTCACGGTAAATCAAAGGTGGGAGAAAAAAATTGAGCTATTAGTAAATATCAAAGCCATCTAGAGCCCCTTTATTTAGCCACTTTCACAAAACGCTTTATTTTAGAGACAGAAATAGTAACAATGTATAAAAAAATCCTTATTCAAATTTAAACATTGATGAGTTAATTTAATGCATTTCCTGTGTGATTTCAAAGTACTCTAGAACAGCAGTAAATCAGCTAATCTACAGCCTCATCTTCAGAGACGTTTGTATGAGATGGACCTGGAGGTATTCAGCCTTAGAGAACACAGCTGCACACAGTCAACCCAGCTAAGATTAAAAAGGTGACAGTAAAACAGCTTGATTGACAGTGTTACTCTTAAAATCTGACATTACAAGTAAAGTTAAATTAAAACTTGACAAAATTTTTTTGAGGCATTCTAATAAACTTTTGATTCAGTTTCTGTGATCTTAAGACAGATATAAAACCAATTTTAAAAAGCCATTAATCCAATTGACTGGTGGGGTTCTAAAGAAACTAAAAACTTGACAAAATATTGGGTGGCTGTGCAAAGCAAATAAACTATTTAAAAGAAAAAAAGCTTCAGAAAAAAGACAGGGAACAGGATATTGTCAGTTTTTAGGTGTGATAACAAAACACTTTATGATTATATGTTGTAGCGAGGTGCTACCAGAACTGACGCATTGGCTGTGAACTGTTAAACCCCACAGGGCCTTGCAGGTTTTTTTTTTTATAATAAGCAGATTTGTTATAACTTATTCAATGACACATTAATATAATAAAGGGAATCCACAAATGTAGGTGTTTTTCTCTTTCTTTTGGTATTCAGAATAAGAATGAATAATGGCGGAGCTAATTGGATGTGAAGCAATATTGATTTTATAGCAACAAGCCACTGGCTAAACCAGAGGTCTTCAACGTGGGGCCCCAGAGCTGCAAGGGGCTCTTTAGGGACTCAACATTGACTCTTCATCACTTTGGCTAAAACTGAATGAAGAGCTAACTAGTGTTTTGAGCAATAAATATACAAGCAAAAGCATTTCATAGCATGTTCTCCCTTAATTACATTGAATTTTCCACAAATATAAGCAACTTTAGATATTTGTTAAACATAAGTTATCATACTTTTCTCTTTTTTTAAAGTGACATTTGTGGCTCAAAACAAATATTATAAACACAGAAGGCAGTTACTCACACACAGGACATCAAGTCTTCTTTAGAGCTTTTCATCACAGATTCCATCCAGGTAATTATTCATGACTGCACTTATTTAGAAGGAAGACGTGTTTCTGGAGAGAGGTTGAAGGAAATGAACCAAACCCAATTCCATCCTTGCTGGAGTTTTCAAGTCCAAAGACATCCCCGTGGGATGCAGAAACTGGCAGAGAAATTTCTCCGTGCAACAATGTCTCTAGAAAACGTTCACATCATTTCCAGGAATATTCGCTTTGACAACCGAGATGACAGACCAGCCCGACAGCAGAGAGACACACTAGCTGCCATCAGGACAGTGTGGGACAAGTGGGTGCACTGCCTAACCCTGCTGTACAACCCAGGGCCAAATGTCACCATTAATGAACAGCTGATGCCATTTAGGGGCCGCTGCCCCTTTCGGCAGTATATACCATCTAAACCTGCAACGTATGGGATAAAGATCTGGGCTGCCTGTGATGCCATTTCCTCATAAGCTTGGAACTTAAAAGTCTACACAGGGAAACCTGATGGAGGAGCCCCCGAGAAAAACCAAGGAATGCGAGTTGTCCTCGACATGTCTAATGAACTCAATGGACACAACATCACATGCAACAATTTTCCTTACCTCGCACAAACTGGGACAGGAGCTCCTGAAGAGGAAGCTGACCATGGTTGAAACAATAAGGAAAAACAGGTCAGAGCTCCCATCTCAACTGCTGACTTTAAAGAACAGGCCTGTCAAGTCTTCAAAGTTTGCATAAACGGCTGACACATCCCTGGTATCCTATGTGCCAAAGAAAGGCAAGAATGTGCTACTCATGAGTAGACTGCACGTGGATGGAAGAATCTGTGACCAGGAACATCACGAACCAGAGATAATCATGGATTATAATGCCACAAAAGGAGGGGTAGACAACATCGACAAGCTGGTGACGGCCTAGAGGTGCAAACGGAGGACTCTACGTTGGCCACTAGTGATATCCTTTGGCATGTTGGACATCTCAGCGTACAATGCCTTTGTCATTTGGATAACACTGAAACCAGAGTGGAAACGAGTGAAGCTCCAGAAAAGACGGCTCTTTGAGGTTCTGGGAAAGGCATTGAGACCACAAATTGAGAGAAGAAAACATATCCCCAGAACCCCAGCCTCTGCAGCCATGGTGAGGAAGATTCAGGAGGAGAATGCTGGTGCGCTGTCCACCCAACCTACAGAACCACAATCTGCAGAACCTGAAGTAAGTGTGTTATGCTGTTGCAGTACATGTCTGACACTCATGTCTTGTGTGTGAGAGAGAACGAGAGGTGTTAGTAAAATTCCTGATCTTTTCATTATCCTAGGTTGTGAACACCAGCAACAAGAAGAAGCGGTGCGAAGTGTGCGGACACAAGATGGACAGGAAAACACGATATACATGCATCAAGTGCAAAAAATTATATCTGCAACACACACACAGTAAAGCTCTGCCCTTCATGTGTTCTATAGGCTTATGGCTAAAGACCATGTGTTCAATGGGGCTAAAGTGTTGTTTTGATTGATATGCTTACTTTGGGTTCAGTTTGTGTTGTGCACCTGAATGGGCTAAATTTCAAGTTCAAAGAAATAAAAGTCAGTAGTTTTGAAAAATCTTGCTTCACTTGTAAATTTTTTTCCACTTACATCTTGATTTTAATTAATTTTCTTTATCATGTATAATTGTATTTGGGATAAGGTAAACATCTGTTCAGTATTTTAACATAAAAGTGTTTGGTTGTGAGGCATTAAAAGCAACAAAATGCAACGGGTCCATCAGACCCACAAACGCTGTCTGAGTAACAACAATATGAACCTTACACAAGGGTTGAAGGAGAGGAACTTAAATCCCAGTAAAATATTATTAACATGTCCCACACTGATGTAGTTCATCTGAAGATTGGTTCATTCAACATGTTGTCAGCCATGTAAAGTCAGCAGAGTGGAGAATACAGACAGTAAAACCTATAATCAGCAGTTTCCACCTATCCTTCTTTCCTTGCTTTGGTCTGTACAGTGAGAGAGAGCACACTTTATATTTAATACCACAGAGGAGGGCTAGCTTTGGCTCTGGGACAATAAAGCTCTTGTAAACAAAGATAAGAAACCCTGTGAGGTGTGTCTAACTTTTAAGTATATACCACAGAGGAACAGACTGTGTTAAACCACAACAGCTGTGAACACCTGAATAGACTGCAGCTGGATGAGCTGCCTCTATGCTTTCAAAGCAAGTTCTTTCTTCTTTAATCAAGAGAAAAAAACAAGAAACCCAAAGAGTTTGTCCAGCACGTTTAAACAAATTCCCCAGCATACTGGTGAAGTAATTAGACACGCCTTATTTCACTCTTGCCACAAGGAGCTGGCATAATAAGCCATTAATTCCTGATAAGAAAGAATGCAGTGGAATCCTTTCAGTGAAATGCTGCAGAACCTTGTATGTGCGTTTGATGTGTCTGAAGGAAAAAATCAATCCTTTACGTATGAAAAACATTTATACTTGCCTTCCACCATCAGCATCGGCTCTTTGGCTCCTCCATGGGCCAGCATCTCCCGTCGGTACCAATCACCCATCTCCCTGAAAAAGATGAGGAGGGACAGGTGAAAAGGTTTTAGATAGTTTTATTCCCTTCCATGTCAGCAGCTGGAAAACAGAGCTGCAATGTTGGGTGAAACAAAAACAACCCTGAAAAGCAAATTTTAGAAAAGAAGACTTGAGATACATCAGAAGGACTGAATTCCAGAAATTATGCCGTGCTTTGTGTGTGTGCAGCTTCTTATGTTAGTTCTGAATGTGGGAATGTCAGCAGACAGCTGCTGGTTCCAGTTTCATGTTCTTCAGCATCAGGATGAGACTTTAACTTGATCCAGAGGTGTAAAAAAGTAACTACTGCTTTAGAACTACATACCAAAACTGCGTTGGTATTTTATATGAAAATTCAAATTAAATACAGGGAATTTTTTCGATGTAATATGACAAAATGTCATTATTGTATTAATAATTCAACATATATTTCATATGAAAAAGTTTTGTAAGACTAAATGCTGATGCTAAAATAATTTTTGCTGAATATTGGTTTTTTTTAGGGTCCATTTTTACGGTCATAAAAACTTTGTATTTTTATTTTTGGGATTGAACTGATGTAGACAATATTTCTATTTCAGAAACAAGGTGAAAAGAAACAATAAGTGTCAGAACATTAAACGCTTTCTTACCCAAACTGATCCAATAATATCAATGAGCATCATTTAATGCTTATATGTGTTTTTAATCATTTAACTCAAGCATTAGCTCACCTGTTTAACGGATCTTGAACGAAGCACTGCTTCCACACTATGGAGGCCACGGCCCGAGACATGAGGTACGAGTAGTACTTGGCCCCGTAGCCAATCAGGTGGCTGAATCTCAGCTGCCACGCCTGAAACAGAACAACCAAAATAAAAGATTAGATATTATCAACTGTAGCTGCTGCTTTTTGGGGCTGCTTATGAACCTCATGAAGGGCCAATACGCTTATTACTGTAGCAAAAGTGAGTTCTTAACAATGGTTCATTTTAAGGGGAAGACATCGAGTTGACAAACATATCCGGTGCAAAAATATCCAATGTTTTATTTTTTTAACTCCTTTAACTCCATAAACTGACATATTTGGATGAGTTATTAGATGGACAAGATCAGAAAAAAATAATAATCTGAATCTCCTGTGGGGAGATATAATCCTTCAGATGGAAATAATGGATGTGAACTCCATAATAGGAATAAATCCACCACGCATCATGCCCGTAAGGGAGCAATAAAACAGAGTACATTTGTGTTTGAAAACATTTAATCAGTGCCTGACTCATAACTGCTGGCAAACTCCATTTTTTTTAAAGCGATGAGCAATTATGTTACCCTTAAAGAATATACAGTTGAAAAAATAACATTCAATGCAAAAAAACTGCGTGCAAGGCAAAAAATAAATCAATCTTTTATCATAAAGTCATAAAAAAAAATATACAAATTTGAATGAAAAAAAAGAAAAAATATAAAAGTAAAAATGCTTCTTGTTGGTTTTCCCCGATACAAAACTCCAACACTTGTTAAGTTCACCGTTGTCTAGGTGATGTCTAATGTGAAATAGTCAACTTGCTTGACTGAGCTATAAATACAGCTAATCTTTAAAATGGGAAAGACAAGAACATTAAATGAGATTAAGTCATAAATGTGCTGATCTTTAGAAATGAGGAAATGCTGTGAGGAAATATGCATAAATGTCCCAAATAATCTAAACAGTAATCATTTTAAAAGTTTAAATAAAAACACTGTTGGATGAAAAGCTTAAAGATTAATTAATTAATTTCATACATTTATACATTGTCAATAAATGTGAAAGTTGCTGTTCTGTAACCTCTGAGGTTGATTTATACAAGAACACATCCTATTCTGCTCTAGTTTATTGCACTATTCAAAGTGGATTGATTTGAAAAGATAGAAATGCTAATTCTTCACACTGTGATTCACTTCACCATAGTGTTGTTCATATAATTGAAAATGAATGTCTGAGATAGTATAATGGTAAATGAATGGATGTGCAGTATGCAATTATTTTATGCCGTTTAAGGAAATAAATAGATGTTATTTTATCATTTTCAGCCTGATCAGGGACTAAAAGTTTGTGTTATAACCTGGTACTGTGCATCTCTCCTTTTTCTGTTTAAATAAAAAATAAGTGAAAAGAGGGAAAACCCAAGCAAGATAAAAAAGGGAAAAAATGTATTAAAATTAGATTGTAAAGAGACGCTGATATAAAGGAGGAACTGCTGCAAAATATGACGCCACTGCCAATAAATAGTGACTGTAAAAAGAACAATTATTTAGATTCGACAGCTTCCAGTATCGTTTTCTAACTCTTTAAATGAATAGAAGTTATTTTATAGGCTTCATGAAAGCAAATTTATAAAAAAGACAAAAATGGAAATCCTTAAAAGCCCCCCCTCTCCTCATTCCTTGCTCCTCCTGTGAACACCTGAAGCAGCCCCTCAGCGTATCTATAAAGGCAGAGTTTTTATTATCTCTGCACTGTGGGGAAATTCAGCTGGCAAACATTCAAAGAACCGCCAACAAAGGTTCACTGCTGCAGTTAACACCATGCCATCAGACCTTTGTCATAAAAGTGGATCTTTCATCTGGATTTATATTCTAAGAGTGTTTATGCAGCTTACTGATGACTTCAGTGTGAGAGCAAAGAAGAAAAAAAGACATTTTTGGCATCTCCTTAATCATATTCAGTTACTTTAACATAATTGTTTTATGTTCTAACCTCCTAACATGAAACAATAGTGTTAACGTAACTTAATATATTTTCAGTGAACTGATTTAGTTTGTTTAATGGTCTGAAACATACAAAAAAAAAAAGATTTTGTTTCAAATCTAACTTTAGAAAAATCATTAAGTCAAAGTGAACGGACATATTTATATTATAATAATAATGGTAATTTAACAAGAAGTTTCCAAACCTTTAATATAATATTAGGTGATAGTAGCCTGTTACATTTGAGTTTTACTTCATTGTACTTTTTATTTTTTCTTGCTTAAATTTTATTTTTGTTAATTATTGCTACTCTAATGTGACTTAAATTTTCGAGTACTCCATCCTTTGTGAGTCACTAAATACATTTTTTTGTTTGTTTTCTAAAGTGTTCAATGCAGTTTATGTCAAAATTATTTTTTTGTGTGCACAAATTTACTTAAACATACAGTGACATTTGGAGGTCATGCTAAAATACAAAAATCTTTAACTGGAGGTACTGGATTCATAATTCTATCATAAAAAGGAAATCATTAGGAAAACTGTTTTTTCTGCCTATAATTGTTATTTTTCAGTTACATTATTCATTTTAATAGATGGTCTTTAAAATACCAGAAGTTGCATGTAACTGGTTGGTTTGTCTTTATTACAAGAGTTGAAATATCAGATGTCCTGAGGAGGAACTCAGTACCTCATACTTTAGTAGCCTTTGTACCAAATACTTAAGTAATTTCTTGGATACTAGATTAAAATTTTGGGGCACACTAACCACCTCTAAATATAATAAGTAAGCTGCCAATGAAACCCTAAGCCAGTCTGCTGGTAAAAAAAAAGCTTCCTATAATTTTCCTTTGCCTTTCACAAGGACAAATGGACTGTTTGGAAATGGTCCCGTTGTGAAAGGCTTGGACAGTCAGGGTGGAAACTCTAGGTGTGCCATTCGCCACCTTTATTAAACACAACAGTGTCTTAAATTAAGTGAAAGAGCTAGGAGTGGTACATCTGTGAGGCAGACAACTGCAGTTAGCCTGACTAACTATCAGCTTGTTGTACCTGTGGAACTTTGACACAGAATCAGAAAGGTAGGAAAAGTGCATACAGTAAAAAACATCTAAAATGAAGTTTAGTGGGTTGTGTTTGATTGTTGCTGAAGGGTGTGTATTAAATCTTAATCATCATAAAAAAAAATAAAAAAAAATTGACATCAGATTAGGGCTGGGTATTTTCGCCCAAGTCCTGAAACAATTGGATTTTTATTAATAAAGTTCTAAATTGATTAATTTCGATTCGATCTGTTTTTACAATATTGAAAGTGGTTCAACTGTGTTTTAAAATTACTCATGTGTTTTATTTTTTCCTGTCACATTAAACACATAGTGCAAACTTGTAAATCAGACAGTTTCAACTTGAGATGTGCACAAAACTGTCTCATAAGTGCAAACTTGTTTGTGAAAAGTGAAAAAGTGAAGCCACAATCGAGCAAGCAGACGTGACATAGCGGGGACACAGCAGACATGCATGAGCTGCATTATCTTCACTGCACAATCCATATTTGCAGCTTTCTCTGTAACAACTACAGGGTGTTTGCTGGTCAGCCCCCATTTGTTAATGTCTCCAGTCAACCTATTGGCTATATTTGCAGCTGTCTGGCTTGAAGTAATCTTTCCTGCTCATTTGAATGTGAACGTCACGCATCTTAAAACTAATCGACCACATTCATTAGACATTGATTTTGCAAAAATGTAAAGGAATCGATTCAAAATCAATTTTTTACCCAGCCCAACATCAGATTATTAAGTTTTATTACTGACCAATAAAAACTAGCAATTATAGGAAAGTAAGCACTTCAATGGGTTCAACCTTGTTATCCTACTATATATAAAAGAGCTCCATCTCATCAACACTAAAGCAAAAAAAGTTTTAGTCATTACCAATGTTTTAACATCTGTTTACATCGATGAATGTTTCCTTGTTTTGAGAATTAATCCATTTGTTGATAGTTACAATGTGAAACTAAAAAAAGCACTCAGAGCGCAAATCTCCACCAAGCAGCAAATGTTGCCCCATATTGTGACTTAAATCTATAGCTAAAACTCATATATATTCTGGATCGTCACCAAATGTTTTACTCTCGGGGGGACAGAGTCCTGCAAAAACAATAAATGACACATTTAAAAGGGTATTTTATCAATGAAATGAGTTCAGGAGGACAGAAAACTGATCAAGTATTGATCCTCTTTGAGCCTTGCAAAAAAACAAAATAATAAGGGGCAGATAGAACAGGTAAGCGAAGCGTATCTCTCTCACCTCTTTAATGAATAAAAGAAGTAAAACTTCAACAAACCTCCCAGATCTCTCTCTAAGAATCCCCTCTCACTGCCTCAGACACCATTTAAACTCTCCCACAGCCTTTATTTCTGAGTTTTCCTTTCCTTTAAATGTAGTTCTCATTATGTTTTTAATATAGTTCATTAAACTGTTCTGGTTTGAGATGCTGCACATACTCGCTAAGTGGGGCTTTGCTTTATAGCTGCTCCTGTGTTTTTATTAATACTAATTTTAACATTTCATAATCTGTCCAAGTCAAATATGGGAAATTGTTTTAATTTATGTGGCACAGAGAGAGAACTGAAAAAGAAATCTGCAAAAATCTGCTCACCCTGCGCAGTAGAAGCCTCTCTATATGCAGCCAGTGTGACATGGAAAAAAAAGTCGAAACGGAGAGTAAAAAGTCGTACGCAAACGGTGTGACCCGGCCTTAATAGTCAAAAATTGAAGCTATCATTAGTCACTGCTGCCACCCTAGGGGGGCCCTGCTTGTTCCAGCAAATAATGTTGAAGAAGCCTTTAAAAAATGTGTGCATCCAGATTATAATGTGAATGATCACCATATTGTTCCTTGGACTGAGGTAAACATTTGGTAAAAATGTCATTAAAATACTTTTTCCAAGTCATCCTGTATATGGACAGACAGACAAACACTCATAAACTCGACTAAAAACATAAGCTCCTTGTCGGAGGTAATAAGGGATTTTAGCTGACTGCAGTGTTGGCCGCCCATATCTGCGAATACTTCAATAAAAAGTGTCCTCAGCTATGAGACAGCTGTTTTTAGAGTTTAAACTAAACTGTTGGCTGCTCCTCTCCAGCTGTGGTCCAACAGCTTTGAAGATTCATCTCCTCGGAACGATTCAGCAGCGGGGAAAATACTCTGCCTCTAAAGTGTCACGTTGACAGGACTCTTCTGGGCTGGGGGGACTTTAATAAGAGGAAAGTGCACTCTTGAGAGGAGTCACGGCTCATAACTTTGTAGCGAGGAAAAGTTTGCTGTGTAAAGCAGATATACAGCAGCTTGGATCACAGAGATTTTGAGGCCTGTGAAAGCTCTCGGACATCCAATAAATGTGAAAATGGAAAAAGCAAAGTGCTTTGAAAAACTTCATATCCATTGAACTTTTTCTACCATCTTTAAATTCCAGAAATAAACTTCAATTTATATTGAACCACAGATCAACACAGGAGAGCATTCAGGTCCCTCTGGGTCTATACTTTTCTGAAAAACCTTTTTCTCTTATTTACTCCAACCCAATAGGACCGAATGAACGTCACGTCAAGTGGTTTTCAAGTAGATTTAGCTCCGGACTTTGGAGCATTTTCACATTTTAATTTCAGCTTTGATTTAATGCTTGTGTCCTTTTCCCGCTGGGAGATAAAACTCCGGACTGTCTCAAATGTTCTGCAGCTTTCAACAGGTTTTATTCCACAATTTAACTCCATCTTTCCCTAAATCCGAACCAAGATAACTGTCCACTCTGAAGAAAAAACTGAGGGGTTTTCAGGGTGATACACAGTGTTAGCATTCTGCCATTTTACATTAAGCACCGCCCCCGGACCCAACAAAAAAAAAAAACCTATATGTAGGTCCTAAGGCCTCAATGTGTTTAGAAAAGCCTCAGTAAATGTCTTGTAGACAGATTTTCCCAGCCGAGGAGGAGGACAATACAGGCAGCTATGACTCCTCTCTGTGCTCTATTCTCTTGGTTAGGGAATGGACACATCTTGGTAGCGTTTATGTTGATGTCACAGTCTTACACATTTTCTGACAAAACTCCTTTCTGATGTGTAAAGCAAAGGTTACAGTTTAATACCCCAACTCAGCTTTAAAGGTATAGAGGAAAATCTTTAATTTCTGGGTGGATCATCTAAATAAGTTGTCCTCCTAATTGTCAATCATTGTGGTTATATGTTTACATAAGGTAAACATATAACCTTAAGATGGCCCAGTTAGCCATCTTTTTCTGCGCATGTGCACTTTCAGGCATATATGTGCGGTTAGCTACGGTTTCAGACAGTCATTGAAGCTCACCTTTCTCACAGCGGTTCCTTGAAAATGGCCGAGGCCCTTTAGGTAAAAAGGTGAAAAGAAAGGCCTCAGAAGAGGCAGATATATCCCCGAATACTTTGCGCAGAGAGCTCTCCTCCGAAGTATTATGGGATTTGCTGTCACAGCACCGACGACAGCGCCATCTAATAACAAAGATGGCGCAGGCACCGCGCGGTGGAGCTACCTGACAAACGGGGAGCAGAAAGCAGTGATCATCTGTCCGAACAGTCAGCTTACTGAGTTCACTATAAAGTCCACTTTATAGTCCCTGATTGAGGGACCCTGATTGGGCCTATGCATGCTCTTGCAAGTGTTTAATAGGTGTTCCCTCTTAGAAGCAGGTACAGGGTTGTGCATGTGCATCTTTTTTAAAGTGGAGAGGGCGTGTCTTTAAAAAATTTCGTGAAAATCCTCCACAAAACTTTTAAGCTCCACTGCCACAGCTGACCATTGCTTGTGTGTCGTCTAAGATATTCATTGCAAATTATATGTTGTTTATAACAGGGTTGCAACTAACGATCATTTTGATAATCGATTGATCTGTCATTACTTTTTCGATTAATAATCGGATAGCGAAAGGTTCCTTAAAGAAGATTTTTTTTACAGACTTAAACCAGGTGAAACTAAAACTTTTCGACTTTGAGTTCATGATAGAGCATACTGAAAGGAAGAAAAAGTAAATTTTTTAAATCTTGAAAGAAATTTTTTTTCCTCCAAATTTTGGTATAGTTACTTCTCTAGGTGGGTTGCTATGTCAGGAAAATGATTGTTTTAGCATCTTTATACTCCAATAAACGATAAATCGATTACTGAATCATAATTAAATCATTTAATCTGGGTTTTATGCAGAGGTATTGGATTTTATTTTGAAAATAAAAATGTAAAATATTATTTTCTTTCTCTTTCTTTCTCTCGTTGATCGAGCTCACAAATTACCAGTAAAATACAGATGTTTGCGGTTTCATGAAAAGAAGCAAAAAAGCTCTAGGTTATGAAAGCTTTTGCAAAGAAATATGTTGAAAAAATACTGAATAAAACTGGGAAAAGGGAAACACTCCACTGCTGCTTACTTAGATTCGTGTTTTAAAGACGGTGTGACCAACGTTTCCTTATAACTGCTGACAGCTGCAGAAGAGCTGTTTACTATCATTTCCAAGTGTGTTTGAAGATCCTTTAAGCACCCATCACACCATCCCTCCAAATGGTTTTTAGACTCCTAGACTGCTCTTTTGTTTTTAATCCCTTTGCTTAAAATGGGATGATTAACATCAACATTTCTAAGGGATCGCATGCGGGTGACGCGTCAGCAAGAGATCCTCCTGATCCTCACTTTCAAAAGGAGACCAAATAACTGTCGGCTTTTCACTTCTTGTATGGGAGATAAAAGACACGCTGCGCTCCTTCCACGCTCAACTTGTGTTTTCTTCATCACCAGGTTTTTAAAATTGTTAAAAAGAAGATGCAAGACATGAGCTGTTGTGTAATTATCCTTTTGTTTTTAAATAAAAGAGGATCAGCCTTAAAAGGAGGACTTTTAACTGTCTGCCACAAAACATCCATCTTAAAAGCGAACATGTGGTCTGTGTAACTTGAAGCCACTTCGCCTTCAGCTGAGGGTGAGATGCTGCAACATGCATCACAATCCATCCCTGCAATAATGTTCTTATATTAGTTTAGGCTAAAAACGACCCAGCAATTAAAAAGTTATGACTTGAGATGGACAAACAAGCAGGAGGGCTCTGAGGAAAACCACAGGACCAGATGCTGCCATTATGAGAGAATATTCAACTTTTCTGCAATGTTTCCACCTGAGGGCACCCCGCATAATTACAGCTCCAGGGACATTCTGTATGAAGAACTTTGTGAGCTGAATTATTACTTTATTTTATTCTATTTTGCCTCCTGGCTTCATCTTTTTCACCTAAAGCTGTGGAGCGCTCATAGAAAGACTGAGTGTTCTCTTTTATGTCAGCAGAGATTTAAACAACACTTTAATCCTTTAACTACCTTTGTTTCTGACTACAACATATAAAAACTAGACAGAAAGCACAGAGGGAGACATTAAAAGGAAAAAGATTGGGCGTTCCAGTCAAATAACTGACTCCCTTTCAAGACAATGATGAAAAGTCACAGACGATATGAGGAAAGGTTTAAAGATGAGCGGGATGTACCGTGTTGGGTATATAAGGCAAGCCATAGAACTTCTCCTGCATCTCCTTAAGGATTTCTGTTGTGGAACGGTTCTGCGGTTGGCTGTGGTAGATCTGGTCCAAGGCTGCATAGAAAATCTGACAGAAAAAGAGAGAGAGAAAAAAACACACAACAAAAAACAGAACCAGACATGTTAAGCAGGGGGAAAAAGAACCCTTTAATAAGTCAAGGACAAGCTTAGCTGTGGGTTCAAAAACACAAAGGGAAAATGATGAAAGCGGCACCGTCGGGGCTCTCTCACACACAGGAATGTAAATTACCACTAGAGCACACTCACATTGCATTCTAGGCTTATATGAAAAGGTGAACCCAGTAGAATTATAACCTTTGAATCCATCAAACTATTCTAACAATTCTGAAACGTATCCTAAAATCAACCAAAGGGTTTAGCTCACTCCAGTGCAGTCAAAACAAGTATAGATAGAGTCCATTTACTAAAATTAAAATGAAAGTTTAAAAGCGGGCATACACTAAGAGTTTTTGCCCTTCTCTGGCCGTTTCTCCAGTCATGCAAAAATTTCTTGGATCAGGCTGAGTTTCAGCTTTGTTGTGCGTCCTGCGTCGTGTAGTATACAGCAGGTAACGAGGGCCGATTAGCCTCTCACGACCAATTCAAAAATTTCTGAAATTCAGTTGGTGAGGTGTTTGTTAGCGAATCCTGCTGTTGAAGCAGAGATAGAAGGGTCTAGAGGCCAATTTACCTGAGCATCTCACAATGCGCATGTGAAAACAAGGTTCTTCTTCTTCCAGATTGACGTGTTTGGCATCTCTCGCCGCAACGTTCGAGGTATGGTTTTTGCTTGTACCATGTGAGCAGTTCAATTGCATCAGAGCATCGGGCAGTACAGTGTAAGAACATAAATTGTGAGCTATGAACATTTAAACCCTGCGATTTCATTGTACAGTTTGAGCTGTAGCTGAGTATGATTAAAAATATTGTACAATGTATGTCCGGTTTAAGTTAGCTATACTCCCTGTAATCTAAGTCACTGTTTTAAGATAACAACAACACAGCATGCTAAATAGGAGGCTAATCCAAAATTATGTCTAACGAATCGAATCTCGAGTTATTAGTCGTTTTATAAAGTTTAAACCAAACATTTAAGTTGAAAAAGAAAATAATTTTTTGCCACATTCTTGATCCTAGTGTTGTAGTCAAGACCACACAAACCTGGACCAAGGAGTACCGAAACCTCATCTGTTCTTGACCTTGTCACTATTTCCTCTACATTGAAATATATGTTTCAATCTGATTCATCAACAGGTCATATCAAAACAGTAGACATACTAGCATTAGCTATTCAGTCATCAGCCCCTAATGAAAGCTTCGTCAGCTGTAGCAAGGAGTGAGCTTAGTGACGAGCTGCATGTTTGAACAAATGAATAATATAACTAAATATTTTAGTTTATTTCAGACTATTATAGCAGTTTTCTGAACATATTTAAGTGAACACTAGTTAAGCAAGACACACTCTTTAATAGCGTCAAAAAGGTAAAACTGGTTAAAAATGGCGACAAATTTTAGAGCCCAATATAATCTGGAAAGCAGCTAAAGCTTCTCTAAGGCGACAAATTATTTTATATATTTCATTTAAAAATCATGAACGTCTTAAAAGAAATTTGAGAAAAAAATCTGAATTTCTTAATGAAAGAAAGATACTGTGATTAGAGATATCAGAACTGGAGGACACTGTGTTATTCTCAGACATAATCAGAAGAAAAATCGTCAATTTTAAAATAACTTGAAAAGAGTGGAACAATCTATATTCCAAGAAACAATATGGGAAAGGTAGATAGGGAAGACTTTGTAAGATAAGGCCTGAATAGAGATATTTAAAATAAAACCCTTTTCCTTTCACAAGTAATAAGATTAAGGAAACCAATTACAAATTTACTCTTAAATCCTATCTAACAGCAATAAAAATGCATAAAATATCAAAGGAAATATTGTTACTTTGTCAAAGATTTTAAAAAGTGGACAGACATTCTTGCATATGTTTTAGAATTGTGATCTTTTAAAAAGTCATTTGAGCTTGATTGATGCTTTTACCCAACCAGTTTTGGATACAGAACTCAAAAATATGCAGTGGTTTATAATTACTTAATGGCACACAAAATACATAGCTGAACTACAAGAAAATATAGGTAAAGATTTTGATAACTTATTTTGGAAAAAAATGCATTTTATGTTGGGAGAATAAGTCAACTCTAACTTTGACGTTTTTCTTGGATCAACTAGCTTTATTTTTACCTCTGGAAAGCTAACCTGGGAGAATATAATCATGCTTATTGTTGTAATGATCTCTGACTGCCCTTACTTGACGGGATGGAGAGTTTCTAAATTTGCATATTAAAAGTGGAATTCTTCATGCTATAATCTCCTATATTATGTTCAAGTTGCTGCCTGTTGCATTTATTTATGATTCTTACTGTGTACTTCTATGGGGAGACAGGAGTGTACATGGATATGCATGGATTGGTTTGAATGCATGTTTGTTTTTGTTTTAAGAGGGAGGGAGATTTGCACCGAGGGATACCTGTAAGCTTTGAGATCTACTCTTAGTTTGTATGATATTGTATTTTCCTTTGCGGAAAAAAAAAAAAAAAAAGTTGTTATTTAGGAGATCTATAGTCAGAAAATGCTTCATTTCATTTTGATTTTGGGAGCCTACGTGAAGAAAAGTAAACATGCAGTTGAATAAATTCATGCTGAGAAGTCTGTTTTGTCTGTTTTTCGTTACACTAATGGGAACAAAACAAGCAACAGGGATACATTGATACATTTATTTTAATTTAGAAACTTATTTGAACTAGGTATTGATGGAAAATTCAACTTTACTAACAACAAAATGAACCTGATAAAAGTAACTATCAGTTTACTGGATTACCTTGGTGGAAATAATCTGAAGAAACAAATCATACATCGGCCTAAAGAAGGACAGAAGTATTGAATCTCCACTTCCTGCTAAGATTTCCAGTGGTTTTTACCTGCAGCTGGGTGTCTGCCGCTCCGCACACCTTCTTGGACTCACAGAGGCGAGTGACCATGCTTTCAGGCAGAGGCTGACGAAACACAGACGGAGCAAAACTGTCAGCAAGCAAGTCTTTAAAAGCATTGGGCTGTTGGTTCTGTGTTGTTATGGTCATACCTGTCCGGTTTCATAATGACGGGCAAACTGGCTGATGACTCGGTAGTCTGTGGCGAAGTACTCCATGAGGATGGAGGGGACTTCAGCAAAATCAGTCGCACACCTGGTCCCTTAAACAGCAAAAAAAAAAAAGGGAAATATTAAATTATAAAAAGAGGGGAGGAAAGTGTCACATTAGGTTATAAATGAATCTAATTTTATGAGGACTTTAAATTTCAGAAACATGCTGGAACATGTTTGAATAAAGCAACCGCTATCAGCTAATACTGTTACTCAGCCATGCTCTCTTTAATTACTTGACATTTTTCAGCATCATCAGACACTAGGAATGGTGTAGAGCGTCATAACCTTCCCTCAGGGCTTACACTTGATCGGATATAGTTTCCATTTCAAATTCGCCGCGGTGTAAAAAAAAACCCTCCAGGTCGGTGTCAAACAACGTAATTCTAGCTTGTGACATTTGGGACTACACACAGTCATGGCTTACAGACAGGGAGCTCATAAAGCTCATAAAATGTCATCGGGGATCACCTTCTGCTCTGTTGGATTGTTATTACTTCCCTAAATCCTGTCTCACGTTCCAAAGTTGACTTTAACTCAAATAAGCCTTTTAAGCTTTGAATGGTTACAGTTGTTTTTTTCCCCCGATTTGCTCAGAGCGATGTGTGCGTCTGCGCTCTCTGCACCTGTCACGTGTTGGTAGCGAGTCCTGCCTAGCATGGAGTGCATGGCATGGCCCATTTCGTGGAAGAGGTTCTCCATCATGCCTGGAGTGAGCAGAGTGGGGGCGCTTTTCGTAGGGTGGGGGAGACTCAGCATCAGAACCACAACTGGCAGCTGGTACTGGTCCGTTTCCTGGCACCAGCGTCCACCCCGGATGGTAAAGTGACAGTCCTGCAAAGACAAACATATACAGTATTATTCCTTAAATCTGAATATTATAGAAAAGCTCAATTATTTCAGTGACTTGGTTAACTAAGTCTGTGTGTAATTGGTCCATATAGTTTCTGAGATGTTCAAACCTTTAATTTTCTTAATTATATGATTTCCTGTCTCCCAGGATGTTCAGGTTCAAGTCAATCCAGATTTCCAGCTTGATTGCTGGTTTCTAACTTTTAAAAAAATCCTCCGTTGGTAAAAAAAAAAAAAAATATTACTTCAGTCTTGTTTTAATTCAGCCTCTTCCAATGAGGATTCAAACCAGTCCAGTTCTCTACCAGAGAGGCCAACCCAGTTTTTCAAGCACTCTATTAAAACAAAGTGGTCAACAGTGACAAACGCTGTACTAAGATCCAATAAAACCATCACTATAAGCTTTCCACAGTCTGCATTTCCACAGACTTCACTGACTAGGTCAGTCTCTGTACTAAAATGAGCACAGAAGCCTGACTGGAAGATGCTGAAGCACTTGGTTATTGTTAGGATGTTTCACTCCTGAAAGAGAGCTTTACTAATCTTGCTGATGAAGGGGAGGTTTGAGATGGGCCTGTAGTTCTGCAGTAGCAGCTTTCCCGAGTTAATCTTTTTCAACATCGGTTTCATAAATGCTGACAAAAAGGGATGTGTTTATTATTTAAGATAAATCAGATGCTGTGACAGGCAGAGCTTTTCTAAAGAAGGCTGTGGGTAAAACATCAAGACAGGAAGAAGAAGAGTTTATGGTGTAGGATTTATTCTAAGTATTTGTAGTTTAATTTTGTAAAACTGGGAAATTTTGCCAAGTTCAGTTTAAGTTGGAGACAACTTTAGACCTGGGATTGATATGGATTTATGTAGAGACTACAGTCTTTGGGGTTTGCCCTGGTAGAGTGGGGTTCATATACTACAGTTTACAGCAGAGTTTGTTAGCCTGTCAACCGTGGCAAATAAGACAAGATGTAATGTTTTCAGCTAAGACTCTCTATATAGTGGTTACAGTAAACCTGGAACCAGGTTTTCACAATCTATGTTCAGCTTTTTGACATTCCCTTTTCACTTATAACTAGTAAAGCACTCTCCATGAGGAGTTTTTCTTCCCAGAAGCAACATTTACTTTATTGGGAGCAACCAAATTAAAAATGTCAGAGATTTTAGAAAGAAAGTTATCGAACAGCTCATCTACAGAGTTACATGGCGTGGAAGTGGAAGTTGAGGATTAAATCCGGACAAAAGTTTTAGTAGGACCATCAATAAAGATGTGTTTTCTAATTCTTCTCTTTGGCTAACTGTGTCATTTAAAATTATGCTTTCAAAACTACACGTTATGCTGGGAATACAACTATATGGAGCAGGGCTGTAACTACTATTGTTTTTATTCATCTATTTATTAAATTCTGATATATAAATAAAAATACATTTCAGTGAAACTGTCTTTAGGACAATGATCTTCCCGCAAAACTGTGATGGGTTTAATATTTAAAGTGCCAAAAGTAGCGCAACTTTTTAATAAAACAGTGCTCAAGGGTTTAGGCATGTGTGCTGCGTCGTCGTCAGCACCCATTGTCGCTATGGTAACTGCTACGCATCAGCTACCGATGCCGTTAGAGAGTCCGTCTTTTATTGGAAGAGGAGCAAATGGAGCTACAAACGTAGGTGTAGAGCAGTGTAAGTTTTAGAGTAGTTAAAGATGGGCTGATCCCAGACCAGGGAAACTAGCTTCACTTAATGTCAACATGTGTTGAAATGCATATTATTTTTATTTCTATCAGTTTAGTTTTTGACTGTGTTGATATTCTTCACTAAAGCGAACACAGGATTGGGAGGTAATCACCAAGTTAAACAGAGTTCCAATTGGGGCCAAGTGGCTAGAGGAGCAGTGAGAAGAAATAGAGGAAGAGCAGCTACTAGAAAAGGAAGATAGAGCGGCAAACATTTCTAAGTTAAATCCTGCATTAAACAGATGTTTAATGCAGGATAATGGAAATATTGTGTTAGATTATAATAGAAATATGTTTAAAAGCTTTAATTAACCAGAGTAAACATATTAGGCACCATCATCAATATAATAATGTCATAGGGCTCGGGTGCGTTTTTTTAAAATACTGAAGTACATAATAAGCAACTCATTTCAATTATCCTGGAAAGTCTCTTGTGACACAATACCTTTAGATAGAAGCTTCAAAAGAAAGATGACATAAAAATCAAGTTTACAATGTCTGAAATGTTTGGCATGGGAGAACAGGAAGAGAAAAATGCACTGCCTAGCCTATTCAAAAGTCAGAATAATGTGATTTATCCACCTTAAGACTCTGAAAATGTCCAGATTTAAATGGTGGAAATAAAACGGCTCTGGGAGCACACCACCCCAACCCGCTTAGAAGTTCTAAGCCTTGAACTCAGTATTTTTTGGACCCTGCATACGGCCCTGATATGGACCCGTTAAATTAAATAAAGGTCTAAGAAAACATTTATCTTTTTAAATTTGAAAAATCTGTAACAAAAAAAGCTTTACAAAAATGAATGTTGAAGATTGGCAACAAATGTGTGCATTTATGTAACCCAATGAGATCCACTTTGGACCTGAGATGGATGCAGGCAATGATCCAAACAAATGCTAATCTCATAATTTGAGGGGATATCTTACAAAGAGAAACGTTAGTGATCATTTATACTAAATTTACTTACCTGGTGAGGCTTATCTCGTCGTTGGAAAAAGTCACAGTAGATGTATCCCAACAACCCTTCAGTTTCATGCACCACAGCCTAGACACAAACACCCCCAAACAGACAGACTCTCAGCTGTACGCAAGAAAAAAGATCTCTACACAAAAGGTGGGATTTAAACCACAATCAGCACGGGGGATTTCAATCACCAGTTTGCGGACGTCTTCACTCCACACTTCTCCAGCGCCTGGATGTTCCGACATGAGGGAGACACCGTACAGCTGGGAGAAAAGGTTGTTCAAGCCCTCCATGCAAGCACCAAGAGAGAAGTACGGGCTGTACAGGCTTGGCTCAATGTTGTACCTGGAAAGAGAAAAGAGGAAGTCTGAATAATGAAAAAAATACATCTATAATTGAAAAAAACTTTCCCAAATGTAAAACGATTTTATCTTCTCTATATTTTTCCTGTCCCATGACATTCGGGGTTCAGGTCAACCTCTCATATGTGTACATTTGTAAAACAAACACTTTTAGAGTTTTTGTAATATACATAAGTATGTTATGATTATTTTTTCATTATGTTAGAATTTCCTATTCATAATTACATAGAAGTAGGTCTCTCATTTATGGAAGCAGACATCTTTGTTCTACGACAGCGCTGAGCCAAAAAAAACAAAAAAAACTGTGGCTGTAGGAATGGCCATGACATCCGAACGAGACTGCAGCGATATAGGGATATATAAAACCAACATCCTACACTTGACTAATAAAATACCTTTTATTAACGTATCTAGGTAAAGATGGGTGATGTGGATGTTAAAGAAGCCCTTTTTTACCATGATGGCCTGGTTCATGTCACTGAGGTCTGACCATTAGCTGTCGCTAAAAAAATTACACACTGTAGCTTTAAAGGTTTGAGAAGCCCATAGCCTCAATACGCTACCCTCTGAAAACCGATCCGTGACGAGCTTGGATCAGTAAACCGTGCCAAGCTCGGTTCCTTACAACCATTTACACAAAACGCTAGGATGGTTCCTCGTCTCCTAGTGACGCTCTACAGTACTACTGCTCTCTAGAGGGAAACAAGCAAATCAACATGGCAGCGCCCATAACATTTAAAAAGTTTGGGAACAGTCAGGCGAAGAAGGCAGCCTTTGGTGGGTTTACTTGACAGAGTCGGCTTTTGGGAAGAGGATACGACAAATGATTGTCTAATCAGGGCTTACAGATGCAGGAAACAGGTGTTGATGTTCATCAAATTGCTAAGCAGAATCATCCAGTTTAGCGCAGTTTGGTTGCGTCAGGCATGGTCCGGTTCAATTGTGCATGCCATTTACTCTTAACAGTTAACTCGTTTACCATGCTCGTAAATAGGGCTTATGCTTTATTTTGTGAAAAACGCTGTTTGATCTTAGCATGACTTCCGGTTTTTGTTCAACTTTAAATTACAGTAGTACACCAGAATAAATATTGAGAAAAAAAAGAAAAATAGGACTGGTTTTGTTAGATATCAAACCATTTTCTTTCATCCTTTGACAAAGTCAAAAAAACAAACAAATGTAAACCTAAAATCCTTTATCTGTAGCTGCTAGGAACTGGACGAGAACAACCATCGCCCTTTTTTGTTTTAGAGTAAAAAATGCTACTCATTTTAACAGACATTAATTCTAAACTTACACATAGGATACAACAGTATCTTATGATACATTAAAAAAAGAAATTTTGTTCAAGTTTCCTAAAGTAGGATATGTAGACGGCAGCGCAGTGGATCCCATGCTTCTCCCATATCCCCCTTTGTAACGAGCGACACCTGAGGCACAGTTTGGGTGCGCTAACCAAGAGAATGGAAATATGACCGCCGAATCTCATCACAAAAATACAGCTCAACCTGATTTCTATCAAATGACAAGGGCAGGAAAACAAGTTAAGGTTTCCACCTTTCAGCACGCAGGACACCGCTGAGGAACGGATGATCCCAGGGCATCAGCTCCTGTGGGAAAGCAGGAGTTAGACAGTGTAACTGAAGCTTGAAATAAAGAACAATAATGAAAGCATCAGAGTAACACCATTTGCTGTAGAAACAGAATATAGAACTTCTTGCAATGAGAAAAAAAAAAAAAAAACACCCACAGCATTACGAGGGTTGAGCTTCTTCTTCATTTCTCTCATCATCTGAAAATCCTTTGCTGTTCTGGAAGATAAAAAGATAAAAGTAACAAGTTATGAGCTAACTGTCTGCAGGCGTTAATTCCTGGCTGTACGCACCTCTTTCTGCACAGGGTCAATAAGGGCCAGAGCCTATCCCAGCATGCATTTGGCTGAAGGCAGGGGAACACCCTGGACAGGCTCCCAGGCTAACAATCATTCCTGTGGGTAATTTAGAGCACTCTGGTCCACCTAACGTGCATATTTTTGGACCGTTTGAGTCATTCACCTCACACAGAATACACTTAAAATAGGGAACACAAAAAGCCAGAGGCTTTTGAGTATAATTAAATATATTTGCCTGGGCTTTCAATACATGAATGTTCTTGAAAAGTTATAACTTATCAAGGCAGATATTAAATCAGATCCAAAATTGTTTATAACGAACTTTAAACACATAGAAACTAAAGAGCTGCAAAAAAAATCATTAAATATATATAATTCCATTCATTAAAAGGGATTTTAAGAAATAAAATTAAAAAAATATAACGAATAAAAATGGCTTAAAATCAACTAACAGCAACATCCATTTGGGTGTTAAAGGCCAAAGAGAAGAGGTTTTAAAACCATCAAAGAGAAAGCCTGCCTGATATTAAACATAAACATTATTAAAACAAAAGACTGTACCTCTTCGACAGTTTGTCTGTCAACAGCTGGAGAAAGCTCATCACAGTTTCTACAAGAAAAGGTGAGAACGACACATTATAACTTTCAGCAATTACATTGCAGCTCCATTGAAGCTAACTGGTTAATCCTTTAAATGAGTTACCTGGATTTTTGGCCATGGTTCCCTTTAGTGCTCTGTGTCCGTACGAGTCATAGCCCACCAGTTTTGCTAGTTTATATCTGCACCTCAGCAGCTCTTCAAGACACGCCATGAGGTCAGCGTTAGGATAGAGGTAGATCCTGTACGCGATCTCTCGTAGCTGAATGTTAGCAGAGACAAAGCAGAATTTATAAAGGGGTTTAAAATCAGAAAGTAATCTGTAAAGGTTGGTAAAGGTTTTTACAATATACAGAAATATGCATGATGAAGTTTAGTTACACTGTAAAATCAGTTTATTTATTGTTATACTCCTGTTGTAAGCAGGCATATCTAAAAAAAAAAAAAAAGGATTTGTGAAAAACTATTAAAGCCTTTATTTATGTAATTCTGATGATTGTGGCTTACAGGTATTAACCCCTAGAACCCTACGGACCCACCGGTGGGTCCAGCTGCTACGTGACCTCGTAATTTCAACAAACCCCCAGTATTGATGTAAAAAACACATTTGGCACAGTTTGGTGACATTTTTGGATAAATGTGCCAAAATGGCCCCTCCGCCTAAGAAATTTCTCACTAATACCATTCTAAAATAAATATGATTCATCTGATTGAGTCCAAATTTGGTATATTTTTACACAACATTTAGATTTAAAAGTCTGTACTACTTTTTTGTGCTATAAATAATATTTTGGTAGTGTTTTGCAATGTTTATTTCAAAGAACATTTTGGCGAGGTTCAAAAAATGCAAAATATTTTGTATTTTGTCCCTAATATTTCAGGCAGGGTCAAAGCTACAATGGTGCTGACACCAGAAAACCATTCTATGACATCTTACCTTTACAGAGGTACCAAAAGTTTCTTCTTAAATCTAATAGCTGTGAGGCTATAAGTGATTTACTTTTGTGTGTTTTTGTCAGGCAGAAATTTATTTATACCCCCTGAGGGTGTAAGAGGTTAAAAACCCAAAAATGTGTATCTCAGAAAATGAGAATATTACATAAGCTTTAAAAAAAAAAGGTTATCATAAACTTAAATGTCAGGAATCCTGAGAGGAAAGTCCTTTTCTCTGCACTTTACACATGATTAGGGCTCCGTCTGCATATTTTTTTCCTTTTGTCTCTTTAATAATTACCTTTTGAAACAATGAAACATCATTAGTTCAGCTTTTTTATTTTCTTTAGTCCAACTGTTTTTAATATTCTTTTTTGTTTTAGCATTTTATTTGCTCTGCATATCCATCTGGAAACCTTCCGTAGAAGTAATTTTGGGAAGGGGCGAAAATACTGGTTAGCTGATTGGCCTATGTTGGTGATAGACGGGCCAAATAAACCAATCAGATCAACGAAGCATACGACGTACCAACAGAGTGACGACGAAGAGGAGCCAATTGATAGATCAAACTCTTGCCGAAACCAGTCGGGAGAAGAGCAAAAACATATTTTCCTCTGAGAAAAGCCTCCAGAGCATTGTTTTGCTCTTCTTCAGTGAAGAAATACTCTGTAATTCCAATAAAACTTGCTCGATAGCCACGCTAACGCTGGTTTCATCGGCTGAAGCCGCCATGTTCTTTAGACTGAACTGTCGCGCTTCTCGTTGCGTCACACCTCAACCCGCCTGAAAGCTGTAGCTGATTGGACGTTCGTTTGGTGAACGGCTCCTAATTTCCTTCAACGGAGAGTCTCCAGACTGATTAGCGAGTGAAATCTTGAAAGCTTGCGAGATCAGGATGGTCTCACGAGGCTAACTGAATTGTGCTATACAAATAAATTTGCCTTGCCTTGCCTTTTGTTGGTTACACTCCTTGCAGAGCGAGTCAGTGACTTTCTACTGGACATCTTACCAGTCAGCAGCTTTCTCATGACCGTATAGCCATCTGACCCAGAGACCATTTAGAGCCTCAGAAACAAGAATTCATAGGGATTAATCAATATTGAAATAAATGTCAACTAATTTAGTAATCGGTTAATCGTTAACTGGAGTATAGAGACCCTAAAACATGCCTTTAGCTGACAGAGCGACCCACCTTGAGCAGTAATTATGCCAAATTTGTAAAAAAAAAAAAAAAAAAAAAAAAGGAAACATTTGGATCGAAACAAAAAAAAAAAAAAGGAAACATTTTGCATTCAATATATAAAGATGTTTTCGTCTGTCTGTCAATATGCTCTGTCCAGAACTCCTCAAGTGGAAAATCTTCTTTAAGGAACCTTTTGCTATCCAATTATTAATCGAAAAAATAATCAATAGATTAATCGATTTGCAAAATAATCGCTAGTTGCAGCCCTACAGAAAACCTTTCCAGGGTTTTGAGTTAAATAGCAGATTAGTCTGTAACACTTTGAGTTTCCAATATTTCACCTTCTTATATCAATATTCTGATTTTCTCGGACACAAAATTTGGGAATTTTTTAATCTAAAACAGGGGTCTTCAACGTTTTCCAGGTCAAGAACCCCCAAACTGATAGCAAGATGGAGCCGGGACCCCCTATTTATATATACTGTATGAAATTGTGTTATATCAAACTGGTCCTATAGTCACTTTATTACATATGGAGTAATGTACCAAAAGTAAATTTGATTCTTAATGTATTTCTGATTTTGATCCTGGTTAATGGGACAGGTGTTGTGAATGAAACGGTGCCCAGCTGGAAAGAGCTCCTGTGTGTCGCTGAATGTGTGCATTGATGACTGAAAGACATCTTCTGCCTCCACTTATCTGTTTACTACAGTGTGTTGAATTCATGTTAGTGTGGATGTAAAGACATTTCAATTAGTGAAAAATATTGCAGTTATTGCAAAACTTTCGCGACCCCAATGCAGTACCTCCACGGACCCCCTAGGGGTCGCGGACCCCCTGTTGAAGACCTTCGATCTAAAAACTATAATTATTGAAATGACAGGAAATAAAGGCTTAAAACACTTAACCCCATAAATCTAAATTTCACTTTTTAAAATGAGGGATTAAACTATTAAGATGTATCGTTCAGAACTGAAGCTGTTTCACAGTCAAACTATCACTAAAACAACTAAACACTTTAGAAAGAAAAACAGATGCATCAGACAGAGAAGACTTAGGATATAAAGAACTTCACTTCAACTCAGCCCGTCATCTAAGTTGAGGCAACAGTGCCACCTGTTGAGCAATGAGGGACATGTCAGTGTTGGGCACTATCAGCATACCAAGTCATCAGGGGAATCTGCATGCAATCCTCCAATTTGAATGAAGCTTCCCTCACTTGCGAAGTGGACCTGCAGATGTTCAGGGATCACAGACTTTGCAATCCTGTTGGGCACGTGGGAACCAATCAGAAACTCGTTGCTTAGATCCAGGAGCTTAACGTGAAGAGCGACAGCTTCTTTCCTCTGTATAAAAAAAGAAAGAAGAGATACGTGGGGGACATAATTTGCAGCCTTAATAGTAGGGCAGTAATAGTAAAGAAATGCTCACCAGTTTATCATCCAGATGAATTCCACTAATTTCAAAGTCAAACATGAATAACTCTGCCACTCGCCTAGGAAGAGAAAAAACGTAAATCTCGACATCCTCTGGATACTTTTCTCTTAAAGCTAACCAAAAACGGAATATCATATATGTACTTTGTGTCAGTGTCCAGCTCTGCCACAGCTTTTGGGTTGTCCAGTAAATTTTTCAGGCTCTTGCATAACTCCACATTAGTGTTCAGCCTGCAACATGCATACATGATGTTTTTAGGGTCCTGCTTTACTCCCATGTTGCTGCAAGTCATCAAACTCCGTGAAGATCTTACTTCTCTACAACTGTGCCAATCTCTATGCAGGTCTTCTCCGCAGCTTCGCGGTATGCTGGGTCTGGATGGGCCACTTTTATAAAGTCTGCCTGCAAATAAAGGAAAAGGACAAGGATATTCTCAGACTAAGCAACTAATTCTCCTGCTGACTTAGAATATCTTAAGAGTTCATCCCCCGAAGACAACTTTTTATTCAAACAAACAGGAACAAACAGAAAGGGATCAAAAACATATTAAAAAAGGACAAATGAAGAGAAAACAATGAAAACAGAAACAACCATCTTAGTGGCCAAATCTGAGATTAGGAACCGATAAGTTTTAGAGCTTCATTTCGTAAAAGTAGGTAAGAGTGCTAGCATTGTTACAATGGAAAATAATTTGTGAATCTGGGTGTATATACTGTGATTGACATGGGAGTTGGCTCACAGCTTCTTGCTGGCTGTATGTTTCCTAGACGGGCCGCCTTTTACAGCTGCTTTTTGTATCTTTGCTTCTGTCTCCTTGAAGCTCAGTCGGCCTCGGCAGATGGCCGCTCACACTGAGCCTGGTTCTGCTGGAGGTTTCTTCCTGTTAAAAGGGAGTTTTTCCTCTCCACTGTCGCTACAAGCATGCTTGGTATGAGGGATTGCATTCGAGTCAATGAGTCGATGCAATCAACTGGTTTTCCTTAGATAGGAAACTTTGAATCAATCTGACTGTATGATCTGGTAAACTGTAAAGTGCCTTGAGATGAGTTGTGAATTGGCGCTATAGAAATAAACTGAATTGAATTGAACAGAAAAAGCAGTAATGGAAACGTTTGAAAATTGGTTGAAAAAGGATAATAAGAGTTTTTCTTTCAGGTCAGCGCTGAAGAGTACTATTTTGGAAAACCAGTCACACCCAGGCTGTCAACATGATGAACATTTAACAGAGAGCAAATATCAATACATTTAACTTTTATAGAAAAAATAATATATAGTCATATTTATAGGAAATATGTCTATCGTCTTTTTTGAATATTATACTTAAATGTCTCCATTGAGAGCAAAGTGGAACCAAAGTGTAACCTGCATATTCTTCTCTTCCCCTTAAATCTTAGTCAATATTTAAGCTTTTTGCATTAACTGACATTTATAGGGCAAGTTATCGTTTTTGATCACTTGCATACCCCTAACAAATGGAGTCCCACACCCCCCTCGTCCCTCAGTGAGGTCTAGAAGCACAAGATCTATATCCAGCCATTCAGCTACATGGCTGCACATCTTATTTTGGCATTTGACCAATTAGATGTACCCTTGAATGATGTATTACCTATTGTAAATTAAGTTAAAAAAAAAGTTAACAAGTCAAGAAAAAAAGATTTAAAAAAACTAATTGAAAAGTTAAATTAATAAGCCTAGTTAACAATTATATTATTTAGGTTTATAATCTAAAAATGTAAGTGCCAGTATCAGCATTAATGCTTCTAAGGTTATGTTGTACCAAAAAATGTGTTTCTTTCACTCTCAGAGTGTTTTTCTTGAATTTCTTATGGAAGAACTTTTGTTACTGTTCTGCATATATTCAGGTAAGTTGGTATTTCTTGTTTATTACATTGATATTCATTTTTGCCATCAAAATATCCATATTTTTTGAATGTTACAAAGGTAATAAGGTCTTGTCCTGGATTCCAATAAAACTATTGGCTTGAAATTGTGATTTTTTTAAGTATTTTACTGAGTGCCCTATAAAGGGTTAAAGATAATGAACTCACCAGATCAGCCACTTTGCACAACCCATCAGAGAGCTGGTCAAAACACTGAACTGTCTCCAGACCTGGGGGGCTGCAGCAGACTCTGTGCAGCAGGAGCTCAGTGTTTCTCAGGGCTGTTTGTGTAGCTACCTGGAAGCCAGCAGGACAGCTGAGCTCTGGCACTCCAAACAAACCCTGCAAACACAGAACAACTGGCATTACTGTCACGAATACAAAATATATATATATATGTCACAAATACATAAAATAGAAGATATTTAATACAAACCACGTTTTTCTCAAACAGCTCAAGCCTCTTGAGAGGTTTGACATTAAAAGCAGCTCCAACGGGCGACCAGGTGGTAACCTTTCTCCGCACATTGGTCCACAGACACCTGAACTTCACCAAGTGAAGCAGCTTATGTGTAGCAGACATTTTTTTTTTTGTTTGTTCTCTTGAAGAACAGAAAGCTCTACTTCAGAGTTAACTGATAGTGATAGAAAGTGACAGCGGACATGCTACACTCTAAGCGTTTATGTTAGCATGTCTGCCAAAACCAAACATAAAAGAATGTCTCTTTTAAAAGCGCAGATAAATTAAAAATCGTAACTTCAGGAGGGATAAATTGTATTCATTTATACTGTTACATGTGAAGAGGACGTGTCCGACTGGAAGGCAAAACTGTTGGCATGTTAGCTCACTAGCTAACGCGGATCTAACCTTTTGTTCAACGTCGTACTTTCGTAGAAAATATATGTATAAAAAAAAATGTCGTTTGAGAATAACAAACACCTCGGATTACATCTTGTTAATCATCATGGTTTTTTTTTATTTTACTCATGTTTCCACGGAACAGAAGTTTTTTTTCTTTCCTTTATGACGAAAGTGCGAATAATAAGTCATCTGTCACAGAAGCCTCAAAATAATGCATTAAATCAGAGCTTATGGTTGAAGGGAAAGAATGTCTCGTATGTAGTTAAAAATATAAAGAGAGCAGTTAATAAAAAAGAAAAATGGTCATATGAATGCGGATTTAAATTGTCAGTAAGTAAATCCTGTTATATGATTTTCAGTAATAAAATTAATAATTACATAGGATAAATAAAATTAAATGATCAATCTATTAAAAGATAGAATTCAAATATTTGGGATTATGGTTAGATAGTTCATATACATGGAAAATGCACAATAAGAAGTTAAAAACAAAAGGTAAGAAAGTAATAAACCTAATGAAAGCTGTGGCTGGGAATGATTGGGGGGGTTATAAGCAGTCACTATTGAATATCTACAGGGCAGATGAGCAATAGATTATGGATGTATGGTATATAGAGCAGCGGCAAAATCATTGTTACAAATAGCAGATAAATTGCAATATAGGACATTACATATAGCTACTGGAGCAACTAAAACTACCCCCATTAATGCTCTTTTAATAGTCTGGAGAAACTCCTTTAGAAATGAGAATGAGAATATGGATCAGATTCCATTTGGGAAAGGGGAAGGTAAATCAATAATTAAAAAGAAAGAAACAGAATTATGGCAAAAAATATGGGATGAAAATGAGAATGGAAGAAGATTACATAGGGTTCAAAAATCTGTAATTGTTAAAAATTATGGAGAAACAGATGGGAAGAGATAATTTATACTAGATTAATAACTGGACATACCTACTTGAATTTGTTTTATTTGTTTGTACTAGGGAAGATAAATAATGATTTATGTGAGGGTTGTTAAAGAAAATGTGGATCATGATTTGATGGATCGCATTACATATGTAGCTGAAAGAGAGAGGACGAGGAAGATAACTATGGAAAGAAGGGAGGGAATGGAGTATTAAAGGCATTTTAGTGACAGATGGAGGAGGAAAACTTGGTTATTAATAAAGCATTAATTTTATTTTTACATAACACAAAAATAAAAAAATAGAATATAGTAGGTGGAACTATAGAGCTACACACTAATGGACAGTAGGTGGCGGTATGCACCTATAAGCTGTTTGCAATCCGCCAATCTAACAAAGAAGAAGAAGCAGTAGAAGACTTTTTTTTTTTTACATTAAAAGCACTTTATTTACACAATTCAAACAAACAATTGACGTAAAACAAGTGTCAGTTAAAAATCACTATTAAAGTAAAAACGAGTGTCAGTTAAAATTATTAAATGAGGAGCTTGTGAAAATGCAGAAGAAGAACCTTCAAAATAAAACGTGTCATAAAATAGACATGCAAAGAACTGTTTATGATTTTAAAGATTGTTGCCTTGTAAAACTCACAAACCGTGCATTTTTGTGGAATTTTAATAGTACTTTAAAAAAGATGCATATTAAGCTATGAAGGATATTTGTTTCTAAACTATTTGGGCATTGTGTGAATTTGAAGGGAGAATTACACTCTAAGTTTTGTATGTGTAGAATTAATTAGAAATTTTTCACACCTGTTCAAAATTTAGTTTTGCTTCAAATGGTTCAGAACTATTGTTGCAAAATAATTTGTGCATTATAACGTTGGTGTTTTGTAACTATTTTTTTCCTTTAATCTGACACAATTTCAAAAAAAAAAAATTACACCTCTTCAAATTCTTGAGTACAAGTACACAAATTGTGTTTTGTGAGTTGCACATCAAAACTGTCTTCCATTTAGTCCCTACCTTAGTTTGGTCATGAGAGGGGGCTACAAACCCCCCAGTGAACATCCCATGGATTTTGTTTCAAATAACACAGCTTTCTGGCATTTAAAGCCCTGGGATCTTATAGTGGTCTTTGGCTACACCTTTTCTGCTCCTTTCAGCAGAGCAACCATGCTGTGCTGTCTGCATTTCCACAAAACAAGGGATGTAAAATGTAGATTCCGTGGCTGCTTAAAAAGTGCACTGAATTTGTAATAAAATGTATTTTGTGTTGAATAAAATATAATTGTGTTACCATTGTGGGAAAATCAATGCATTAGCTCACAATATCAATTGAATGTATTAGGTTACGATGACGAATCACAAATATATAATCACTTTCAAATGTATAATTCCAAAGGAAAATTGCTGATCTTAATTATGTTCAAACATTTTTACCCCAATTGGCCATTAGTAAAGACAAAGCTTTTACCCTTGGTCCCAGCAAAGCTGTTTTAATACCATTTTATATTATAATTTTGCTTCTTCAAATTCTTAATATGAAACTATCAATCTAGTACAGTGGTCCCCAAACTACGGCCCGCGGGCCAGATCCGGCCCACCTCCAAACTTGGTCCGGCCCCCTGAACAATACTAGACAGTATTTTCATATAAGTGTTTTTTTTTTTTTATATTAAAGTTGGACATTTGCAATAAAATGTCCCTTAATTATGAAGTTTTTTCATTATTAACTATTAGTAACTATTTCATACACATAATGCGACAATGTTCCACCCTTTTGGGGTCTGTGCCCCTATCTGGCAACCCCCAGCATAAAATCTTAAACCCGCCCTTCTCAAAGAGATACAGAAGAGGATAAGGCCATTCAAAAAAATAAAAATAGTCTATTCAATTCTGACTTTTTTCTCAGAATTCTGAGGAAAAAGTCAGAATTTTGACTTTAATTAAGAAAAAAAGTCTGAATTGAATAGTTTTTTTTTTTTCTTTTGAATGGCCCTAATTCTCTTCCGTAAAGAGCGAACGGAATAATGGCGAAAAGAAAAGGTAAGAAAAAGACTGATTCAGAATGCATTAAACCTGAATTGGACAAACGATAATTTTTTTTGTTCAATGTAAAGTCTGTCTCGTCTGTCAAGAGGCGGTGGCGGTATTCAAAGAATATAACCTGCGGAGACACTATGACTCCCGTCATAAATTTAGGCACTCTTGCAATCGTCACAATTTTACTGTTACAAACTGACCCCGGCCCCCCACCAGAGAAGGGAAAAGTTATGTGGCCCTCACAGGAAAAAGTTTGGGGACCCCTGATCTAGTAGATAATAGGATAGAATCTGAATTTAATCACACATACCCTATGAACATATCCCAGCTATGTAAAGTTGCTCATGTCTGGTGGTTTTATTAATATAGAAGGAATTATCACAGAATACACCTTGAAGTGATGTCTTTATTCATGGGAGGAATAATTCATCCATTGCACTCCACGACCACATTTCATCAACAGTTTTACTGTGAAATCTATTTATTAAAGGTGTACGAAAAACATCGGGCGAAAGGTCTTCAAGCGACTGTATTTGGAAACGTCCTCAAAAACAAAAGGGAAAACATGGCTGACAAAGTATTTAGGTCAACTCTGCAAAACGAATTTAATACTGAAAGTGGGTAACAGAACAATGATAAAAGATCTTCCCAATATGAGAAATTGCAGCATCTTGCTTTAAGTACATTTGGTTGTTTGTACTTGGCAAAAAAAACAACAAAAACAAACAAAAAAAAAAGTACCAAGTTGTGACACGTGGTGAGGAAATGCAGTTATATGTAAAAGAAAAGAAACAAAGCGAGTCAGATTTAAATAAACGCTTTGCTAGCAACTAATTATTAAATCTCAATCACGTATTTACATCTATTCACTAGAATACAAAATGAAACAAACAAAAAAAAATGCTTGGGGAAAGAGAATACGTTTCAATTCATTTGGCTCACCTCACATTACAGTCAAGCTTTAAGTGTTGATATACAAAGGAGTGCTGAAGTCAAAAAAACCTAGGCATGGATTTGTTGGATCCAGTTGATTTGCTCAGACATCTGCCCACCTGGAATCATGTACCATCCTTACCTAAGCTTAAAAAAAAAAAAAAAAAAAAAAACAAACAAACTGCATCTCTTCAGACTACAGTAAACTTAGTTGACCCCTGAGTTTCTAATGCAAAACTAGTGTATGAAATACCTCATTACAGTGTTTCTTAGTGCAAGCCAGCAATATGCTCGATTAAACAGAGGTATATTTGATAGCACCCAAGCTGACAAGATTCCCCAGAAACAGTTATTCTGCCACATCACAACAACATCCACAGGAGGTGATGGTTTTTTCCCCGTGTCCTTGTGAAAACCACCAGTTCCAATGCTTGAATTTGTATTACATCTATAAACATGTTTTTCATAGAAAATATAAATAATATCCCTGAATGAAACAGATTCACAGCATTTTATTCTTGAGGACTCCAGTGCTACTACCATAACTTGGCCATCGGGTGTCCCCCCCCCCCCCCCCCCAACCTGTCCAGTAAAGGTCCATCGTCTCTGTAAAGCCCAGCAGCTTCAGCCGCTCTTTCATTCGCTGTCTCGGTAGCTGACCGTCCGCTTGCCTCGGTTCCGGGTGTTGACGCGTCTCGTCGTCTGTGGTTTGCTGTACGACTCGTCGCTGTCCTCCTCGGAGGCTGGTTGGTGGCGGCGCTGCCTGAGCTGGCGGCTCGCGGTCCGCGTGCGAGCTCTCCTCTTTGGACTGCTGTGGGACCCTGAGCTGGAAAAGGAGTTTTCAGAGGCTGAAGACATCTGCTCGCTGTCTGAGTCTGAAGTGTGTTTGCTGCTGCTGTAGCTTTCCTTCCTTTCAGGCTTCGCCTGCCTCAGGTTCCTCCCCCCCTTGTTTGAACGAGCATCCTCTTCCTCCTCCTCTTCGGATGAAGAGCCGCTCTCTCTGCTATCATGCGACTCCTGTTTGGATTCCCTTTTAAAGCTCTTAGAGGAGCCAGACCTGCCGTTACTATTGCTTTTGCTTTGAGGTTCCTTATGTCCATCTTCCTCCTCGTCTTCAGAGTCTGACGTGTAAATCCGTTTCCTCTTGGTGGAAACCTGATTCCTTCCTTCACTAGGAGATGCTCTCTCAGATTTCCTTGTATTATACCTCTCTTCCCTTGACTCGGAGTCTTTTTTGTTTCCATTTCTTTGCCTACGCTGCGTTACTCCAGTCAAATCTTCCTCAGAAAGAGAGTTATCAACTATGTATTTCTTTTTCGGTAGAGCTCGAAGGCGAAGTCTTCTGTTCGGCACATCATCAGAGCCGTCCCACTCTTCCTCCGACGGTCCAGGGGAGCCTTTCCTCCTCGACTTCCTCTGGGGTTTGTATTCCAGCTCAGAACTCTCTGAAGCAGACTTGGTGCGAGGCCTTTTGCTTTTCATTGATCTCCTGGTTTCAAGCTCCGACCCATCGCTGGAGGGACTTCTTTCCCTCTCTACCTTCTTCATCCCTTTCTTCTGTTGACTGGATCGTTTTGGAAGATCGTCGAGTTCGTCCGATTCGGCACTATCCCGTTGTGTCGTTGAGGCAGATTTGTGTTTATCTTGGCTTTTTGATGCTGACACTTGACTTTTTTTCTTAGAGTCCCTGTGGATAGATTCTTTCTCATTCTTTCCGTTTTGCTGTGGCCGTTTCTGGACACCGTCTTCTTCGTCTGAACTTACAGGAGCTTTTCTTCGTGTGATTTGCCGCTGACTGCCCTCCTCCACCTCACTTCCGACCCTACTTCTTCCAGCTGTCCTTCTGGAGGGTTTGGGAAACAGGAGGACCTGATCCTTCCTCTCCTTTGCATTTTCTTCTGACTCGGAGTTGCTCTCACATCTCCGTTTTCCGCTGTGTCCATTCATGTGGGACAAATTATCTGTCACAAAAACAAACAGTTGTGTAACTGAACAGAGGAACATGAAACTAAATGGAAACAAAAGAAAAAAGGGTCGTCTCACCATTTCCCCTCGTCTTGGCAGCTTGTTTCGTTTTATTCCGTTTGATGGACTTGTAAACCCCATTCTGTTTAATCTGGGAGGAATCATCACTTCCAGTAACATCGTCCTCACTCGAGGATTCATTCGATTCCTGAGTATTCCTGGAATCTAAAAAGGTTTTAAGACAAAACTTTAAGATCTAAAGTAAAGGTCGACACATCAGTATGTTTTTGACTTTAAAGTCTTCGCCTACCTCTAGTTGACAGCTTTCCATCTGAATCAGAGCTGCTCTGGATCACCGCAGTGCGTTTGCTGATACGGCTGCTGCTGCGTCTAGGCCTGCTCTCTTCCTCTTCATAGTCCTCATCAGACGCCTCCAGGAGCTTTATCTTACTGACTGCATCCCTCGCTGTCTTTCTCTTGAGCAGCCTGGGGGCCGTTGCTTCCTCTTCCCTTTCTGAGTCGTGGGAGGAGGCTCCGTCGGAGTCGCGGTGGCGTCGCTTCTCCCTACGGGACGCTCTGCTGCTATGGCCGTTCATTTTTGCGCTGCCCTCTAAAAAGGAGCCATTCCAAATATTCATCAAATCCATACATTATATTTTAAGAATCTTAACAGTATTAAAAAGTAAAAATTTGCTTTTTCCAAGGTTTTTCAGAGTAGATAAATTTAGGAAAAACTGAAAGAAAAAAAAAAAAAAAGTTTGACATCAACTAAGAAGTTCTGTCATATGTTCTTTATTCTGGCTGCTGATTGGACCGATTCAGAATGAAAACAGCGAATCATGTTTCACCTGCTCTGGTTCTGTCTCTAGCAGCTCTGTTCCGGGTCTGCCGTGTGCTTCTACTGGGGTAGTGATGATCCGAGGACTTTGAGGAAACATCTCCATCTTCCTCCTCCTCACCGTCACTCTCACTATCATCCTCCTCTTCATCATCATCTTCACTGTCACTCTTAGCAGCTGGAAACAATAAAATGATAAAATTTATTTCTCGTATTACGACCTGAGGACGAAATGATGCTCTTTCTGGAAGAAGATCCTTTCTGACCTTTTCTCTTCTTCTTGGAAGTTTTGCTTCTTGTAACTCTGGCGTTGAGTCGGCTTTGATGACACTTTGAAGTAGCTGGACGTGTCTCCTCGTCTTCTGAATCACTCTGCTCGTTCTCACTTTCAGACTCTTAAAAATTTAAAATAAAATAAATCAGACAAACATTACAGCTCTGATATCACACTTCTGTTTAAAAGCATTGTTTTCTGAACAGTGAGACTCAGGCAGTACAAACAATGCGTTTTTTGCACAATGTTTTTTTCTCCCACGCTGTTTACATTTGATCACTGCTGCACTTTATGGAATGAAAATATTCCTTTACTGTCTGAAAAGCTGTACTAAATATAATTACGTTTTGTATACAAAATGGCAATAAAAGTTGTCTAAGTCTACATATAAGTACTATTATAGCATTTAAAAGCAAAGGTTGCTTGTACCTGGTGAGGATGAGGCAGCTTTGGAGCCGGAGTCGTCCTCTGAGGAGCAGCGACCTGAGCTTCTGCCTCGACTCCGTCTCGTTCTCTCAGGAACAGACACTTTGGCTGAGGTAGATTTCGTTACGGACATTGATTCCAATTTTTCCTGAGTTTTGATAGTGGGCTTTTTGTGACTGGAGGGAAGAAAAAAAAAACATGCACTAGTTTAACCATCAAGCATTTCAATATCATGTCTACAAGTGGGGAGAAATGTAATACAACATATCTTAAGGTTAAATGGGGGGAGAAAAAGCCAAAATAACAATAATTGATGATGCTTGGTTAAATATATATAATGCTGTGATCCACATGTCAAGTTCTGGCCTGTGGAAACACTTTTCCTGGAAATGCATGGTGTGTTTTTTATTACGCCTAACACTAAAAGTAAACATTGTAACAACACTGAAAAGGCAAAATGCTGGAGGAATTGTTGGAATTTGTTAGCAGGACATTTTCATGTCTTCTGGGAATATATTGAGATTGAATCCTATTGGTCAGAAGTGAGAAAAGAAATCAATGCTAAAATGGACTTTAATTTACCCTGTGATGTTACTGTAGTCACTTCTTCCAGCTCTTCAGGAGGAACCCCAAGGCGTTCCCAGGCCAGCCGAGAAACATAGTCTCTCCAGCGTGTCCTGGGTCTTCCCCGGGGCCTCCCCCCGGTGGGACGTGCCCGGAACACCTCACCAGGGAGGCGTCCAGGAGGCATCCTAAACAGATGCCCAAGCCACCTCAACTGGCTCCTCTCGACGTGGAGGAGCAGCGGCTCTACTCCGAGTCCCTCCCGGATGAAGTGGCTGGGGAGAGGGAAGTCTGGGCCTCCCTTCTTAAGCTGCTGCCCCCGCGACCCGACCCCGGATAAGCGGAGGAAGATGGATGGATGGATGGATGTTACTGTAGTTTTCCTGGGTAATTTACCCCAGAAACTGAAGAAGTCTGACAGGGATCTCCTATTAGTATTATTAGCAGGTGCAAAGAAAGCTGTAACCCGCAGATGGCTTGATGTGGAACCACCAATCATGTTTGGACTGGAAGGACATTATTGAAGAAATTCACGCAATGGAGAAACTGACTTTTTCATTAACAGGGTTTATACAGGAATGATTAACTCTAATTTAATGCTTTTCAAATTTCTTAGAAATAATTTTAATGCCATCAACAAGTACCCATGACTCTCATTCATTCTATTCATTTATTTTATTTTATATATATATATATACATATACATATATATATACATATACATATATATATACATATATATATACATATATATATACATACACTATATTGCCAAAAGTATTTGCTCACCCATCCAAATTATTGGAATCAGGTGTTCCAATCACTTCCATGGCCACAGGTGTATAAATTCAAGCACCTAGGCATGCAGACCGTTTTTACAAACATTTGTGAAAGAATGGGTCGCTCTCAGGAGCTCAGTGAATTCCAGCGTGGAACTGTGATAGGATGCCACCTGTGCAACAAATCCAGTCGTGAAATTTCCTCGCTCCTAAATATTCCACAGTCAACTGTCAGCTGTATTAAAAGAAAATGGAAGTGTTTGGGAACGACAGCAACTCAGCCACGAAGTGGTAGGCCACGTAAACTGACGGAGCGGGGTCAGCGGATGCTGACGCGCATAGTGCGAAGAGGTCGCCAACTTTCTGCAGAGTCAATCACTACAGACCTCCAAACTTCATGTGGCCTTCAGATTAGCTCAAGAACAGTGCGCAGAGAGCTTCATGGAATGGGTTTCAATGGTCGAGCAGCTGCATCCAAGCCATACATCACCAAGTGCAATGCAAAGCGTCGGATGCGGTGGTGTAAAGCACGCCGCCACTGGACTCTAGAGCAGTGGAGACGCGTTCTCTGGAGTGACGAATCGCGCTTCTCCATCTGGCAATCTGATGGACGGGTCTGGGTTTGGCGGTTGCCAGGAGAACGGTACTTGTCTGACTGCATTGTGCCAAGTGTAAAGTTTGGTGGAGGGGGGATTATGGTGTGGGGTTGTTTTTCAGGAGCTGGGCTTGGCCCCTTAGTTCCAGTGAAAGGAACTCTGAATGCTTCAGCATACCAAGACATTTTGGACAATTCCATGCTCCCAACTTTGTGGGAACAGTTTGGAGCTGGCCCCTTCCTCTTCCAACATGACTGTGCACCAGTGCACAAAGCAAGGTCCATAAAGACATGGATGACAGAGTCTGGTGTGGATGAACTTGACTGGCCTGCACAGAGTCCTGACCTCAACCCGATAGAACACCTTTGGGATGAATTAGAGCGGAGACTGAGAGCCAGGCCTTCTCGTCCAACATCAGTGTGCGACCTCACAAATGCGCTTCTGGAAGAATGGTCAAAAATTCCCATAAACACACTCCTAAACCTTGTGGACAGCCTTCCCAGAAGAGTTGAAGCTGTTCTAGCTGCAAAGGGTGGACCGACGTCATATTGAACCCTATGGATTAGGAACGCGATGTCACTTAAGCTCATATGTGAGTCAAGGCAGGTGAGCAAATACTTTTGGCAATATAGTGTATATATATATATATATATATATATATATATATATATATAGTTTTCCAGCCACTTTTGTTGATATTGTTTAGCTTTTTCTCTGCCTCAAGCTTCTTTTCCGAATATACGGCTCAACGATCAACTGGAAGGAGTTCAGTGCAAGTATATCGAATATTTTTTAATTTTTTATTATTATTAAAGCATTAAATGCCACGATAATCACATTTAATGAATTTTAACGCCAATTAAGGCCTTAATTTAAAAAAAATAAATAAATGACTTATGATTTTTAATGACCAGCAGAAACCCTGATTAAGACTTGCTACTCATAAATACAATAAATACTGGAAGAAACTGAACATTCACCAGAGCTGGTTACCAATTGCATAATTAATGTACAGGTGCTGGTCATAAAATTAGAATATCATGAAAAAGTAGATTGATTTCAGTAATTCCATTTAAAAAGTGAAACTTGTATATTATATTCATACATTACATACAAACTCATATATTTCAGATGTTCATTTTGTTTAATTTTGATGATTACAAATGACAACAAATGAAAATCTCAAATTCATCATATCAGAAAATTAGAATATTGTGAAAAGGTTCAAAATTGATGGCCCCTGGTGCCACACTCTAATCAGCTAATTAACTCAAACCACCTGCAAAAGCCTTTAAATGGTCTTTCAGTCTAGTTCTATAGGCTACACAATCATGGGGAAGACTGCTGACTTGACAGTTGTCCAAAAGACGACCATCGACACCTTGCACAAGGAGGGCAAGACACAAAAGGTCATCGCTAAAGAGGCTGGCTGTTCACAGAGCTCAGTGTCCAAGCACATTAATAGAGAGGCGAAGGGAAGGAAAAGATGTGGTCGAAAAAAGTGTACAAGCAAGAGAGATAACCGCACCCTGGAGAGGATTGTGAAACAAAACCCCTTCAAAAATGTGGGGGAGATTCACAAAGAGTGGACTGCAGCTGGAGTGAGTGCTTCAAGAAACACCACACACAGACGTATGAAAGACATGGGTTTCTGCTGTCGCATTCCTTGTGTCAAGCCACTCTTGAACCACAGACAGCGTCAGAAGCGTCTTGCCTGGGCTAAAGAGAAACAGGACTGGACTGCTGGTGAGTGGTCCAAAGTCATGTTCTCTGATGAAAGTAAATTTTGCATTTCCTTTGGAAATCAAGGTCCCAGAGTCTGGAGGAAAAGAAGAGAGGCACTTCATCCACGTTGCTTGAAGTCCAGTGTAAAGTTTCCACAGTCAGTGATGGTTTGGGGTGCCATGTCATCTGCTGGTGTTGGTCCATTGTGTTTTCTGAGGTCCAGGGTCAACGCAGCCACATACCAGGAAGTTTTAGAGCACTTCATGCTTCCTGCAGCTGACCAACTTTTTGGAGATGCAGATTTCATTTTCCAACAGGACTTGGCACCTGCACACAGTGCCAAAGCTACCAGTACCTGGTTGAAGGACCATGGTATCCCTGTTCTTAATTGGCCAGCAAACTCTCCTGACCTTAACCCCATAGAAAATCTATGGGGTATTGTGAAGAAGAAGATGCAATACACCAGACCCAACAATTCAGAAGAGCTAAAAGCCACTATTAGAGCAACCTGGGCTATCATAACACCTGAGCAGTGCCACAGACTGATCGACTCCATGCCACGCCGCATTGCTGCAGTAATACAGGCCAAAGGAGGCCCAACTAAATACTGAGTGCTGTACATGCTCATACTTTTCATGTTCATACTTTTCAGTTGGCCAACATTTCTATAAATCCTTTGTTTTTATTGGTCTTCAGTAATATTCTAATTTTCTGATATGATGAATTTGAGATTTTCATTTGTTGTCATTTGTAATCATCAAAATTAAACAAAATAAACATCTGAAATATATGAGTTTGTATGTAATGTATGAATATAATATACAAGTTTCACTTTTTAAATGGAATTACTGAAATCAATCTACTTTTTCATGATATTCTAATTTTATGACCAGCACCTGTAATAACTTTTTCTTGTTTTTTTTTGTTCAATACTATTAAACTGCTCCTGTAAAACTAGTTGCTCTGTCATTTCTGTTAGAGGGGGGTCTAAATGTTCAATATATTTGTGTGTTTAAAAAATAAAAATAGAATAAAATATATATATATATTAAAAAAAGAAGCTTTTCGATGTAAATATCTGAAAATGTGCCATCAAAAAAAAAACAAAGAAAAAACTGAAAAAAGGTTAACTGTAAATTTACAGTCATATGTTTATATTACTGTTTTTATATATATTTTTTTTACTACTTTTCAAGGCTGCACTTTAACAAAAATGAAATTGTCTAGAGAACTGTTCTAAACAAAGTTTCTTTTTGTTTTACACTTGTGTAAACAAAATGACAAATAATCGAAGTCTAATCTTTACAGAGGCTGAAAATAAAGGCTGGGAAATACAGCCAAATAATTATTTAACAAAAAGCAAAAAATAAATAAAATCAAGGCTGTATCAACAAAGCAGAACTAGAGCACAGCAGTCCATAGCGTATCATGTTAGATCTTTTGAACAGCTAACCTCAGGTGAGGCGAGACTAACCTTGCTGAGGCATGATCCTGTGGCTGGGCTTTCTTGCGGAACCTCTGACTGCGGCGGAGCCTGTCGCTGCTCTTAACGGCAGTTCTGTACTCTGATATGATTGTTCTGATCTGCTCCTCGAAGAAGGCGGAGAGTCGCAAGGTCATGCTGTAAATCTAAAAGAAAAGCAAAGAGTTCATCAAGTTAAAAATCTCAAACAAAACCAAAAGAGGTTAGCGCTCCCTTCTCAGCAGGAGCCGTCCCTTACCTTGGAGCGTTTGTTCGGTGTGTAAGCCTTAGCATTAGCAAATATTAAGCGTGTATCTTTGCACAGCTCTATGGGGTTTTCATAGCGATCTTCCTCCAGGGTCCTTTTCACTGTGCCAAAGTCCATTGGAGTATCAATAATGTCAAGATAATCCTGGGTACAGAAAGACGACTTAGAGCGCAGCAAAAATGGAAACTTGGAGCCATTTCTTAGGAGTCGATCTGTTCACTTACAGGATAGTTTTCTGGATCCACAGGCTGTCTGAAGGGTTCTGAGTCTTCACAACCAAATATGTAGTTAACCAGATGCCTACATTGTTCCTTCCAGGCATCTCGGTCAGGCAACACCTCCACAGAGTGCTGCAGAGATAAAAAAACAAACACAGCATGTCAGGACTTTGTTTTCTATTACATTCTGAAAATGACCAGAGAAACCAGCTAAAGTCCAGATTGGTGTTCCGCTCTAAAGCCTGTTTTCAAATGTACTCATTTAAAGGATCCAGCGGTTGTTTTAAGTTTCTACAAATAAGTAAATCTGCATTTAAGGGACAGAGCTGTTAAAAAAAGAAAATTAAAAGAAAAGAAACCCCTGGTAAGCGCATCAGCGTCCAGTTTGATTATGCTCTGAGCGTCTTTGAATTAATTTAGATTTTTCTGCACTCACCTGACGCAGTCTGTGTCCAGAAGATGTACCTGGTGCTTCTGTATCTTCTTCCTGCAGAGGGCAATCAAAACACCACTTATTCAATGCTAAAGTTCAGCATCAAGATCAGAAATAAAATGGAAAACAAACCAAATAATAAACAAAAAGGTATTTGTTTTTAATTTGGATGCAATCACTGAGGAGTCAGCAATCCCAACTACAGCGACTCTAGCTGAAGCCGACTTATCGCTCAGTTCGGCTTACATGGAAGCTAATGTAAATTCGCAAATTGCTTTTTAAGACAAACCGTTTAAACAGTCTAAAAACCAAATGGTAAAATAAATCCACATTGAGGAAAACCTGCAGAAAACAATCAAGCCTCCTAAATATCACTAGATTTTTCTTTGCGCACTTGCCTCATCGTCGTCATCCATTTCCTCCACAGCATTGTAAATCTCCATGATATCTGTGCAGCCTGGATTACTAGAAAAACATAAACAAGAAAACACAAAAGATACAGCTTTTATTTTTCACATTTTATTATGTCAGTTCTTAATAAAAAATAAATAAATAAATAAATTGATTAAAAAAAATTGTGAGGAAAATCCAACAAATCTTACTTGACAAATTTCTGGAGGACGCTTGAGATGATTTTTGCAGAGTGGGCAATCTTGCTTCTTGGCTCATTGAAAGTGCGGGCATTATGTGCAATATACCTGGCTTCCCATACTAATGCAGAGAGGCGCCTGGGAAGCAGATGTACCAATCCTAATTTACTCACATTCCAACAGACTGGGAGAGAATAAAACTCCCGCTTTCAACCTTTGTCTATGTGGAGGCGGTTGGAGCCAATAATGGCGGGAGCAGCCTACCTGTAGAACCTGTTGATGAGCCGCAGTCTGATTGTGCCCAGGTCTGTGGGATAGGCAATCACGGTGCAATAGCTGGGATACTGGATTAAGTCCACTGGACCAGAAAATGGAGCTGCAATCTCTGCATCGAAAATCGCACAGAAACGCAGATTAATGGAACATCTAAGAAGGGAGAATAGATAAACGAGAACCTGAAGAACAGAGATATAAATATATCATATTCTTCAGCATACAGACCAAGAGTAATGAGCTGTTCGATTCCAGCGATGATGCGGTCACACTCCTCCTCCCTGCTCCTCTCACCCCACTCCCCTGGTACCGGTTTGTACATCAGCTCTTTCATCTCTTCGGCAGTCGCAGGGATACCGCCTCCATCGGCGTCTGGCTGCTGGGCTGAGAACGGATAATAGAGAGTGCCATAGCTATTAGCAATCAGGGACTACAAGAGAACACAAAACTTTTGCTTTGAAACACTTGAGCTGGCATTACCATCCTCATTAATAGGTTCCACGTCCCAGGGACTCAGTTTTTCAGTTTCTCCATTGTCCCATCTATTAAAAACCAAACATGAGATAAATTAACTGCTTTGTCAACATTTGAATAATTAAATGTAAAAATCAGCTGAAAATTTCACTAGAAGACAAATAAGTGTTTCTGATTTCTGCCTCTTCTCACATAAAACAGCAGCATAATATAAATCAAAACAGCATCTTCCCCTCTAATAAGTAAAATAAAGAAAATCACAACCTTATGCTGATTATAGCTATCTGAACATACTGAAAAGTAGGGCTGAAATATTTATCAACAATGGAAATAATCTTTAATCTCTAATAAAATGATTAGGGGTGTTAATCTGCAAGACTTTGGTGATACAATTCACATCATAATACATGCTTCACAACACCTTAGAACCCAATGGCCTATAATTATATAGTGCTTTGGTCATGCCAGGAGACATGACCAAAGCCATGATGCTTGCTTGGAATATATTATTACTTTTAAGATCAATTCTGCTGTATATTCCCAGCAGAAATATAATTAAATATTGCAATATTTGACAGAATTTTTTTTTTTGCCCTCCTACAGACTGGTCCCCGGGCACCATACAATGACAGCCCATTGCAATTGTTAACTTTTGGACATAAAAAGGATTTACATTAACATAACCCCTAATTAGTGAATATAGACCCTAAATCAAGAGATTTACGGATAGATCAAGTTAAAGCAGAAATAAAATAAAAACCTCAAAATTTCTATTCTGAACTCCAAGTGGAGTTATAACTTCAACTTGTTCTAATCTTGGAAAAAGAAATCTCATTTTATACGATTTGCTTTGAAATTATCTATCCAATTATGAAAAAAAAAACAGCGATGGGTAGATGGATAAACTCTTACAAATACACGTACATGCACATATAAAAGGCTTATTTTTAAAATGTTATCTGGATATTCCATTCAAAAAGAATTTCAAATCTGTTGTAGTGCATCATTTTAAGGTGAAAAACACGCATTTGTTAACTCACTAAGAGTATTCAAAGAAACATTGCTAGAGTAATCAATCGATAGCAGCAGCTCTTAAATGCAGATTTTCCCACGTCGTATTGCATCACTAAAGGTAATACATTTCTAATCTCATCACAAATACTTCTATAATGATCATAAACTTAAGACGCTCAATCATTTATTATTACTAGTAGTAAAATAAGTGTAGTACAGAAATCTGCTTTAGATCAATATGATGGCACCTATCCTTCCCACCTGACTTTGAAGCACTGGAAGAGGCTGTCTGGGTATTCTGGCTGGTACGGCTCCTGACAGACGATGGTTCCAAACCACCAGGCATCGTCAATCACTGAACGAAACCTGTCATCTACCAGACATAGAAGAACAGGGTAAGGACTAAATTCTTAGGGTGAAAACCTCAAAGCAGAAAACAAATACAAACTGGGAAACTTTACTTCTTTGATTAAATTTTTGGGGTTAAATTAAAACTAAGAAGAAGTGCGTCCTAACTCACTTGGTTGCCAGTTCCGACGGAGCGCCTCGTCGTAACTTTGCCTCAACACCAGAAAATCAATCACATCCGGCATGTCATGGTACCTGCAGAAAAAAAAACAAAAAAACATTTGTGATATAATATCTTCTTCTGAAAGCCATCACTACAAAAACACAACTACTGTATGAGAGCATAACTGAACAGGAGATGCCTACTTGATAGAAAAGGACTTGTCTGTGATCTTCTTGGTGCCGTGGTCAATCAGAGTCAGCTTCAGACAGCAGAGTGTTGGAGGGCAAACTTCGTATTTGATTCCAGTGATCTTCACAAACTCTTGGTCCTAAGAAACATGCAGATTTTTTTATTTCATCTGAGCTGATCAGGGTTTTAGCATCACATGGACTCTATTGATGACGATGTTCTCTGAAAACAAGCTTCTTAAGGCCTTTACCCGCAGTTCCATTTTCTTCCACGGCTGCTTTTCCAGGTTGATGGGATAAAGCTGGTTTCGACTCACGGCCTCAACATAGGCCTCATGGCCCTGACGAAAGTAGATCACCTGAGTGGAACAAAATTTAACTTTCATTAAGAAGTGTCCTACCGTGAAGGTAAAAGCTTTGCCGTGAGCCAGCACTAAACAGAACAAAACATTTTTTAAAGATATGTAGCTAATGCCATCTTGTTTCGACCTTTTTAAAGCAGAAGCTTAAAAATATGTATTTTTTTGCAAACTGTGTCAACTGAAAGAGGTAGATGGGTGAAAATTTCCACTCAGAGTGCAAATTGCTAACACTTCTTATTGCCCTTCTGCACAATAAAGCAGGTGGTGGCATCATGCTAGGGAAAATTAAATGCAATCATTTTTGGTAGTAGCATCAAAAAGAGGCATGTCCTCAGACAAAAAAAAGAAATAAAGCTGTCAACTCATGCAAATTATTAGTCGTTCATTGTTCTTAATGAAAAACTATTCAATAAATAGTAAGGGGGGATCCTGGAGATCAGGAGGACTGATGAGAATACAGTAAGTTGTCGTACCTCATCGCCCATCTGAGGAACGAAAGGAGACTTCCTGGGAATGACATCAGTGATCCACGCAGACGGCCTGAACTCGTTCGACACCTCTCTGTTAATAGAAGGTCTGGGCTTTGGACGCTGATTGGAGCACAAATGGTAAACCGCTCAGATTAGACCTGATCTTGTTTTATCAAAGACAAAAAGAAAAAAATATATACATAAATGGTCTGCTCACCCGGGGTGATTTGGCTTTGGCTTTTTTAGATTTCTCTTTGCTTTTTTTCTCTGGTTTTTCCTCGTCCTCTTCACTTTGCTGCCTTTCCTCTTCTTCCTCATGCTCTTCCTCCTCTTCTTCAGAGCTGCTGAGTCTGCGCCTCACTCGTTTCCGCAACGACAGAGGGGTAGAGGGCTGCAGGTTTATCCCAGCGTCTGCTGTCCAGTCGGAGTACTCGCTGGAAGTATGGCTGTCCAATCAGAAAGGAGAAGCCCAGTTTAAAGCCGAGGAACCTGAGACGATAACGGTCTGAAACAAGCACTTAGAGGACAATACAGCAGGGTGGACAGACAAATTCAAAGACTCGTACTTTGAGCTGTCACTCGTCCACTCTTCGTCGTCGTTGGAGGAATCCAGTTCACTGCCTTCCAATTCGTTGTCCTGAGAAATTAAGGGAAAATGAAAACTTGGAGGTGTACGGCAAATTTATACAAAACTCACAATAAGAGTGTACGGTGAATTACCTCTGAGTGTATATCGGAGCTGGCAGTCTCCTCGCCTTCCTCACATGAGAACTCGATAAACTCTGCAGAACCTTTGTGGCCATGAGCTCTCTTTGTGGTGGAGGGCTCCTCGTCTGAATCATCCTGAGGAGAGAAATGGCCGAGTCAGGAAAACGGACCAACGGCTTCACAAAGAGAACGTCCAGTTACATCCTCTAAGTAAAATGGGATAGAAACAACGTTAATGTTTATATATATATATATTTTTTTTTACAATGAATTTTGATAATCAATGCTAACCTCAATTCACACTTTGATAAAGTTAAAATATAATTAGCGGGAAAAGAAAAAGAAAAAGGATTTTAATACAGAGATATTAGGTCCATGTTGTTTCTACATAGTCCTTGGAAAACCTGTAGATCAATGAAGACCAACCATATAAGGTAAGACTATTCATGGAAGGCTCTGTGTCAAAGTATATTAACAGAAAATTGAGTGGAGGGGAAATGCTGATGAAAAAAGTTAAGGAAACAACTTTTTAAAGATGGAGCTTGTCCTTTCAAATGCTCCCTTTCACAGTGAGTCATTACACTGCAAAAAATGAAGCCAAAGACATAAGACATGTTTTCTTAATCCAAGTGTATTTTTTCTTGAATTAAGCAGGTACGTGTCTGAGGCATTTTGTTAATGGATAAGAATAAGAATTTACATTTAAAATAAGAAAAAAACAATATCAGTCTCTTATTTCAAGTGTATTTTATAGGGATGCACGATATTGGGATTTTGGCCGATATCCGATATGCCGATATTTTAAAACACATGTAGCCGATAACCGATATCGATACTGATGTTAAAGCTGGACAAAAATAAGTAGTCATTGAAAATAGCAGTTTTGTTATCCATTTCTGACACTTTGAAAAATAATATACTCAAATATATTTCCATATGCTGATATCAAATAGATTTTTAAAAACGCGGTATTGATCTATTTTACTTTCAAAATCTCGCGAAATTTAATCGTTCTGTTACAAACTCTCTTGATATTTTGCAAATTCTTTTGAGATTTTGTTAGTAAAATAGATCGATACCGCGTCAATATATCAACATATAAAAATATGGCAAAATTTTGTGAATTTTCGGGGGATTTCGTAGCATAACGATGACATATAGCAATATTTCATTAGTAAAAGAGATTGATATGGTCTTTTTAAATGGCAATATATAAGCATATGAAGATATTGTGATATTTTAATGTATCAATATTTTTTTCCCTTCATCTTTAGAAGTTTTTAAGTCTGTAAAAAATAAGTTTTTGAGGAAGAAGAAGAAGTAGTTTTTTTTTTTTTTTTTTAGACTTTATAAACTTAGAAGCTAATCAAATATCGGGTTAAATATCGGTGGGGCGGCTAATGTTTTAAGGCCGATACAGATAGGGGGCCGATTATATCGCGCATCCCTAGTATTTTATCCAATAATCTTATTTTAAGGCTAAACATACTAATTCCATTGGGGGATCATCTTATTTACCTACTCAAATTAAGGTAAAAAAATTCATTTAAGGAATTTTTTTTACTCATTTCAAGATTTTTTTCGTAACCTACAACCTGCTCAGACTTGACAGATTTCTTATGCTGGATGTCCTTTCAGACCAAACCAGGATTTGAATCACGTTTCCTCATTATTACAGTTAAAGGACCTAAACCATTTTCCCACCCATTTTTAAGTCTTATTATTTAATCAACTCCTGAAATACATGATAATGTTGGAAGAAATTCCAAACTGGAACCAAAGCAGATGTTTGACCACAGAGGAGCAGGCGCCCTACCCGACAGCTGCCATACAAGATCCTTCTCTTCTTCATGTTGTAGAGGAGCACCTCCTCATCCCCTTTGGCAGTTCGAACATCCTCCTGGTTCCTGAAACAGAAAGTGATATCAGAATCTACTACTAAACACCCTAAATTAATATTTTTCCATAGCCAACCCATGGCTATTTAATGGTACCAATAACATATCTGCATATGCTGAAATCATTCACTCCAAACAGGTAAACAGAAGGTTGATTCTTGAAAATCAGATTCTAATTTAGGATTTTAAAATGGATCTTTGACCCAAGAAGGATGATAAACTCTTGGTACCAAAGCGAGCATCTACTTCAGGCAGAACTGACCTGTAACTACTGTTCACCAGCTCGGGTACCACCACCCTGCGTCTCCAGGCCTGCAGGTCTCTTTCTGTGGCCATCTGACTCCGAGGAGCATTTTGGTGCATCTGTCTGACACCCTCCACTTGTCCACTGCGTCTCAGACCCACATTAGGTGGCGACTGCACGTCGGCTCGATCGTTCACTGACACTAAGAGAGAAAAGTGAACACAGAATTAAGGACACTGTTTGTCATATAGTACAATATAGGAACTTGGTTGATACCTCTGCGTGGAGTACTTGGTGCTGGTGCCAAGACTGGACCTTCAGGTCTGGCATCCGGACCTGGTGCTGCTTCGCTCTCAAGCTGGTTCTGTCGGTCCTGTTGTTCCTGCAGCTGTCTGATAGCCTGGTCTAGAAGGCTGCTACGTCTCACAGAGATCTCCTCGGGCTCCGTAGTCTGCTGGCTGATCACCTGCTCCACCACCTCTCCATCGCCTGCAGAGATGAACAACTACAAGTCAGCAGCCATCATTACTGGATGTTGGTTAATGAGTAATAAAAAAATAAATAAATGAAATGTCCTGGTTATATAATTCCTGTAATCAAATGATTAGATTGTTTAAATGTCAGCCTTACTGGTGGCTACATATCCGAGCTGAGGAACCAGGTGCTCTGCAGCGATGTTCTCCCTCCCCGGGACCAGACGCTGGTATCTGGAAATAAAAGCGATTTCAGGTTTTGTAGGGAAATAATATCAACAAAACAGGTGATATCACCTGAAGCTCTTTAGCTTCAATGGAACTCAGAATGACTGGATGTTAAATTTGAAGGATTGCCAGCAAATTGTGGGATCCAAAACCATATTGTCTAGAGATTGTAACTGAACATTTTTCAGCAAGCCAACCTCCATTTAGCCACTCAATAGTCGTTCCAGAGAACAAGCATTTTGATCAACCCAGCAGGTGGAAAACAGTCGGTTTGTGGACAGTCATGGCTTAGCTAAAGAAGCTCATTGGGAACCCACAGCTGCTCATAAGTCAGGAAAGGCCGTAAATCGAAATGTTACAAGTGGCTAGCGTGGAATATCGCAGAGGATATTGTTTAGAGGCCTAAAGCGATGCCTGCTCTGGTCAGGGGAAAGTGGAAGAGGTGAAAATGAATCCATGGGTCACCAACAAGGCTGTATTGGTGAATTCAGATGAAGGAAGAACCAGTTCTCCAGGATAAAGCTCACAGAAGCCCACTTGGCAATTGTAAATGCTCATCTGTACAAAGTCTTCTGTTTTTGTCAGATTAAATAAATGTCTACTATATTTCATTTAATAAATAAGGATCCCTCGACCCCAAGGACATCAGTCTCCACTGTTAAACCAGGCTGTGGGAAACTAATGCTACCTGGAGTTTTTTTTTTTTTCATTCATCCCATGGACCTGAATTACAGTAAAAAGCAAACCCCTGATCGTGATTTTCAAAACCGAAACAATTTAAACTATTTTAATAGAAATGCCAACAGGATTTTGGAAAAAGCACCAATTTAACAATCACATCTTCTCCAAATGATTTTTGTTTTTAATATTTGCCATCAACACCTTTGTTTATAAATGTTCAAGATCAGCCTGTTTTTCAGAGTAGTCCTGTTTCTCTGACTATGACTGGCTGGGTGTGCTCTTTATCCTCTGACATGGGAGCTGGATCGGAGATGTCTGCCTGGCTGTGTGTTTCCTGGACGGGGCCGCCTGTAGAGCTTGTTGACAGTTGCCTTTTGTATCTCTGCTTCTGTCTCCTTGAACCCCAGTCAGCCTCGGCAGATGGCCGCTCACACTGAGCCTGGTCCTGGTCAAGGTTTCTTCCTTTTAAAATTGAGTTTTTCCTCTCCACTGTCGCTACAAGCATGCTTAGTGTGAGGGATTGCCTTCGAGTCAATAAGTCAATCGAATCAACTGGTTTTCCTTAGATAGAAAACTTTGAATGAATCTGACTGTATGATCTGGTTGAACATTTATGAAAATCTTTTTTAATGCAGAGAGGCCAACTTTGAATGAAGAGAAAAACGTGAAAATGTAAATCATAATATGCTCAAATATAAATAATATTTTACCCAAATCATATTCAGTGTGACAAAAATCATAATAGTTGGCAACTCCGTTTTATGTCGAATTACTTACACAAAGGGAAAGGTCACCCTTTTTTCAGTTATAATCAAGTAATAAATGTTTAGATTATTAGGGTTTAAAAAAAATGTGCATGTTGGCTTTTAAATAGAAAGTAAGAAAAAAAAGGACAAAAATATTAATTCCAAATCTAGAACTTGTATTATTAATGTTCAGAGAATTAACATTTTAAATAAAAATCAGTCTTAAGACTTAAAACGGAAGCCTTTTTTACCGGGGTGGATGGGGGTTTCCATCTACATCTACTAAGAAGGGAGGGGGCATCAGATGGGGCGCCTGCTGCGTCTGCTCATCCAACACAAAGCCATTGGAATCTCGAATCAGCGGCCGGTAATCTGTGTGGAAGAACACCTGGTCCGGAAGCTGTGGAAACCAAGAAAAGCGTTAGTCGACAGGCTTCAGATACAATTTTTCTTTATTTCCACTTCTCTGTACTAAAATGTCTATAAAAAGGTTGGTTTTCATTACTAAGATAAATAATTAAAACAGTCTTGCCTTTTCATAGGGTTTGGAGCTGCCGAAGCCAAAGATGAGCAGATGGCCGTGCGAGTCTGTGCAGGCGAACCGCTGACCATCAGGAGTGAATTTGCAGTCAAATACAGCTCCGTGACCCTGACCCTCAATCTGGAATGAGTAACACAAAGCGAGGAGACCAATGAACAATGGTTGGTTGTAAACAGTTGGAAGCACTGCATTCATTTGTCACCATTAAATTCACTGGAAGCAGCTGAATTGTGCTGCATTACTGGCAAGTTCCCCGATCTGTAAGAATCCTACCCAGATGGTGCAGAAAGTGTGCGTACCATGTTAAAGTAATGCTTGGTGTTTGTTCCTCGCTGCAGATCCCAGATGAAGACGTTCCCATCATGGCCGGCAGACAGGATGATCCTGGGATCAAAAGGGTGCGGTTCAAGGACAAACACCTCAGCCTCATGGCCCTAAAAACATCAGCGAAGGTGTTAATACTTTCTTGAATGCTAACGGGAACAGAGTGCATTACTGGAGCCTTACTTTAAGGATATGTAGCAGCTGTCCTGTGTAGGAGTTCCACACTTTGAGGAGATGGTTGTCAACAGCCGTGACGACTGTATTGTCATGGCGATCCCACGCAACCATGGTAACTTTTGGTTTGAAGTAGCTATCCTCTTCGTTTGCATGTTCAGCACTAACCCAAGAAAGGAAAGAATGGGAAGTTAGAACCAGAGCAGTAGCAGGCTTCCCAGTTCAACTTACCAAAACAAAACGATTTCCAGCCTGCATCTGATGGTACTATCTAAACAAGAGGAAGGTTTAACCAAACAAACTGTTGCAGTAGGCAGGCTGGAAACCGTTTTTATTTAACTGTATGCAAACAATGGATCCACCGACAGTTGGCTTTGCCTTGATCGGCTCTGATCTGGCTCACAAAAAGAAAAGAAAATGAAAAAAAAAAATAGATCTGGTGGTTGAACTAGCACAATTTCACCCGACAGAGGCACAAAAGAATACGCACCTTTGATGCGTATTTAAAGTTTGGTGAAATCCCAAGTTTAGGAGCAGAATACATGAGTTGATGCAAGAAAAGTGACATTTGTGCAATTTATTTAAAACGACTGCTTTCATAAACAAACCAGCAGGCTTGATTCCCCATCTTATGGGTTTCAGTATTTGCTGATAAAAAACTGATAACTTGCAATTTGATTAAAGAAACCCAGATATGATAATAGTCAAGAAAAAAAAGCCTGATTGGAGATTTTCTAATGAATTATACAAACCAAGTAAATGTAAATCAGGAATTTACATTACACTTGGGTGTTTACACTGGAGAGGGTGGAAAGCCAGTAAAGAGTTAAATATAAAACAGGAATAATCAAAGATTTAAAAAATGGTATAAGGTTTGCTTTTTTTTTTTGTTTGCTTTTTTTTTGGGAGGGGGGGTTCCCCCATCACAGTATAATCAATCAATATAACATTGAATGTTCTTCAGTCTTTCCCAGTAAGTGATATAAAATCTTCATCACTTAGAAAAACCTGTTTTTTCCCCAACAGATGTCAGAACCATCTAACCAAACACACCTGGACAGATTAAGCTTATTCAGTGTAACATACTCCAATTACACAATCGGCAATCAAAAAGGCAAAAAGCCAAATAACCGTTTTGAACCCATGCCAGCTGACAACCAAATCGACCCTTACCCTGGAAGAGTTGCAGACATGCTGAGTAAGATGCACCTCCATCGCTGCCGCTGGTGGAGCTTCCAGATCCGAGCCGTTCCATCCCGACTTCCACTTACAAACCTGAGGCAGAAGGCAGCTTCCTTTGTACATGGCTACATTTAACGCAGTAATGACTTCCCACAAATAAATATAATGCTGCAGTAAATCCACACACCTTTCACCTGAGTGGCAAAACTGGATGCTATCCACTTTATCCTAAAAAAAAAACAACATATAGTGGTTACAAGTCAAAATCCTAAATCTTTGTCAGGTTTATATTACAAAGAGCTTTACTAGAAGCTGTATGCTAGAAAACTGAAGCTAACTAACCGTGTGCTCATGCAGCTCTGAGATCTTCTCTGGACTCCCGCTTCCAAGGTAGTATATTCTAATGACATCGTCTGTACTTCCTGTTGCTAAGAACATCCCGCCTGAAAAGATCATATAGTGATCAGTTGAAAGCGTTCAAACCCAAATGTGTAAAACCATAAGCTTAGCATCCAAAACCAAACCTGTCAGCAAAGAACAGGAAATTACCTGGACTGAAAGAGGAGCAGATAGTCTGGACGCCTGGCCTTGGCCGCTCTGTAAATTTGTGAGGTCGATCGCTTTGGAAAAGAGCAGACAAAAATAATGGATCATTCAGGGAAAAAGTTGGATAAAGATCGCATTTGTCAACCGTATAACCTTATCAATTCCACTAATCCATCAATTCCCTGGTATCCAATCCAACTTTATTTATATAGTACCTTAAAGAAACCAACAGTACCAAATGGAGAAATACAAAAAGCATTGAAAGCACTACAATTAATACAAGCAATACAAAAAAATCATTAAAATTGGAACCCTGGACATCTTGTATAGAGCTTAAGTAGTGTTTGATCTGTCCTGTATAGATTTCTTATTCTAGAACCTTTCAATCCAGCCATGATATGATGCACAACTGAACGCACTTCTGGGAGTCCGCTTTTGATTTATACATTACAATTCATCAGATTTGTGAACCTATAATGATCCTGTCTGCTATCATCACTAGAGAAAGCATAAGAATCAACCCACACTAACATCATGTAGAGTTTGGGACCTTCTAAATCAGGGGTCACCAAGTAAAAATCAGCAGGGTCCAAATATAGAAAATCATCAACCAGTAAAGATTCGGACACATTTTTTAAATTTTTCCATTTTAAAATCTAAAGTGTTTTTTGAAGTACAGAACATCTTTCAGTTTGGTATATGGACAATTTCCTGAATCACATGTTTTATAAAACCCCTGAACTGACTGTTATTTTTTATGGCTTAATGAGAGCAGTGGGCTTTAGGCTGCCCTGCAAGGCTTTAAACCGTGGTTTGCAATACGGGAGGAACAGCAGAGGCTGTAGGCTTTGCTTTGCGCAGGACGTCTGAAGCGCAGGATGTGGGATTTTGGGGTCAGACACTGTCGTCGGACAACATGCGGTAATTTATAAATGTTTTAAATTAGGTTGGGTCCAGATTTGTCAGCAGGTGGGTCCGGATCTGGACCGTGGTCCGCTAATCCATTTTTTTTGTTTTACCTTTGTTTTAACAAAGTTTTCCCGACAAAAAAGCTGGAGCCAGGAGGCAGCAAAAGTTACACAACTACAATGAGAGCAAAAACTCAAATGCTGACAGAAATTAAGGAAAACAATCCGAACTCTAGCTGTCTCAGAGCAAGTCCAGTTAAATTTCCAGTCTTTCTGCAACACGTTCCACATGGACAGAGCCAAGCAAACAAAAACACTCTTTCATATTTCCCTTTGGAGAACAAATAGGCATCTGGATGCAACGAATAAAAATTAAACCTTCCTGGGGTTAAATCATTTTTTAGAATCTATAATAAACATCTGAATTTCGCTAAAACAAACGGAGCTCACCTGAAGTTAATGTTGTCGACGTCCCACTGCCAGAAACAGACTGTGGCGTCCGTTCCAGTGGACAGCATGTAACGCTTGGAGCCCTTGGCAAAAGGTGAAAACTAAAAAACAAAGGAGACGAAGAATAGTTAACAAGGGGTTAAAAACTAACCTTGACCCTTGAAAGATTTTTAAAGAGACTGAAGTATGGGGTGTGATAAGAACACGGCAGCTAGCTTAGCCATTGGGAAGTAAGAACATTGAGCAAAGGGACACTAGTCATTAAGCCCCCTCTCCTCAAAACCCGAAGTTGAGCAAGGCTTTAAAGAGCCCACAGGGCCGAAACTTTATCAGCTAGAGCCACTTGTTTCAAGGCACTGACTCAGCGATCCTCGACAGCGGAGCTGCAGAGATGGCAGAGGGCAGGATGGCTTGGTAGAGGTTTAGTAAAGAAGTGTCTGAGTTTTATTTTATACCTGAATGGGGATATGATGAAAAAAGCCTGTTTACTATTTGAACAGGTGGAAAATTCAACTACAATAGCCACTTATTCGATATTGGATAGGGGGGGGTTAAATAAATAAAAAAAAGTGGCAACAATCTCACTCAGCCACCTCCTAAAAACATTTACAGAGCTCAAAAGCACACCAACAAAAAGGCTTCTTTCACTTGTGTAGCATGTGAAGTACTTATGTACTTATTTCAGATCATAGTGGAAGTGAAAGCTGGGGGGACAAAACAAAACTGGTTCTCAAGTTACCTGCTTTAGAACCAGTTTATAATACATGAAGATACATTTAAATCTAGATTAAGTTTACCTGGGCTGTTGAGTAACATGTGGTGAGGATTTTTGGACAAAGATCACAGATAAATGTTGTAATCTTTTACAATGAAACAAGGAAGAAAATCCTTTGTACTGTGACCTTGAGTGGCCAGAAAGGTGCCTTTAAAATGTATTATTAACAGTGTCTTTTCTTTAGCAGAACGACCTTCTACTCTTTCGCCCTCTAATAAGGGTGTATACATCCCCTGACCCAGTGGGGGGAAAGAAAAGAAAAAAAAAAGAAACTAATTGTTTAGGCAGGTTAACTGCAGCAGTGCTGCAGGAGAACATTCAGTGCTGCTAATAGATGCACAGTGAGCGAAAAATTCTTTAGCAAATGACCAACTGAACAGAATTCATAAATAAACTGTCAACTTGGTGAAACTGCAACCATTGACCCCTCTGCCTTAGAACACAAGTCAGGCCAATGAGTGAAGGTTTGGCTGATTTTTAAGCATTTGGGAACAGCATCGAAAGAAGGAAAGCTTGCAACCAGAGAGCCCAGCGTGCACTGATCAGGCTCCACATCTCTGACAAAGATGGAAAAAAACGGTGACTCAAAATATTTGATATGAATAACAGAAATGTGTGTTGGGAGTCTTTTATATACGTTGATATAGTGATTAATTATGCTGAATTTTTCTGAACTAAATTTGTATCGAAAAAGTACAAACATACAAAAGAATAGATAAAAGAAATAGATACTAAAATCTATCAGTGTTAGGCCCTTGGATGTCATTAGGAAGAAAGTGATTTCAAAGACTCCAAAAACCAATCCCCACTGACCCAACTTACTCTGAATTATCATGGGGTGTTCTGTACTTATAAAAAGGTTCTGACCCATTTCGCCTTGTTCTTCACCAGCTTTAAAGACTAACCCCATTCTCTGCTGAGGCACCACTACGTCCATTAGGCGAACTTGTAGAGTTTCCACCCAAAGAGGCAATACTAGGAAATACTTCTCTAGCTTTCAAAAACTTCAACTTCATATTATAAAAGTTTAGACAAACATAACCCCCCCCCCCCTTTTTTTTAATCCTTACAACAGGAGAAAGTCCTACATTGATGAATAGGAGTTGTGTTTAACTGGAACAGATTTCTTTACCTGAAGGGAGGTAATGGATCCGCTGTGTCCCTGTAGCACAGCAACAGGGGCGCAGGTTCGAAGGCACCACACACGGATGGTCTTGTCACAGCTTCCTGCAGCAATTAGTGTGTTTTCATAATTGACCGCCAAGTCTGTGATTTCTGCAGAGTGTCCTCTCAACGTCGAGTGAAGCCTTCCATCAAATGAAGACCAAATCTTCACCAAACAATCATCTGAACCCTTAAAAAAAGAAGTTATCTTTGTTTTAGGACACACTGTAGGGTGGATCAGATAGAAACAGATTACAGCAGCACATCACAACATATCTACAAGAGATGTCCTGAGGAAATGGTCAATATCTGAGACAGCTGTTAACGTGGAACTGCCTGGGTTTATATTTGTTAGATTGTTAGGTTGGGGGCGTAATGAAGTATGGACTGCTGGGCCCCTGACTGGACCAGACCTCAGCAGAGAGCCATGAGCAGACCGGACATCCCCAGTCTCCCCGAAGTTCCAGGAGTATCCTTGATATAGTTTTTCACTGATGCCGGCGGGTCGGATAAATTATCCCAGATTTTAGACTATGCGAGGTGGTGTTTTTGTAAGGCGAGCGACAGCATGAAGGCAATACAATAATTTGTGCACGATATGCAGATTAGAACTACTGCAATTTTGCAGGCACAACAAGAGAGAGCGGGGTGTGGGGAGGAGGATGCTTGTGAAACCTGTGCAGCATATCTGCCCAAAGCAATGCTCTGTTTAACGAGCGTTCCAGACGACTGGTTGTCAGATTGGATTAGTCAGAAAAATAAGCCAATAAGTTTCGGTTTACTCTCTTACAGTCACCTAGTTACCACTCAAACCTGTGCATCTTGTCAAATAGGTTAAAGGAATAGTACACCCAAAACATGATTAGCCTTCATTTTCTACTCACCCCAATGCTGAACAACACCCTGGAGTACTTTTTTGATATCTCAAATGCATCTGGAGATCTGGGAGGCTTCTTGCTGTCTGCTGACATTCAAATAATGGAGGTCTATGGTGACCGAGACAGAAAGGTCCATAAAAGTCCACAAACAACGTGTCAATATTCCTCCATACTGCTCGTCCAATGTATTCCAAGTGTCCTGAGTGGGTAGCATCCAGAATTTACTCGAAACGAAGTCATTTAGAATGTTTTTAGAGCATAAACAGTAGTGTATAGGATTTCCTGAAAGCGCGCACATGCACGCTCACGACGCTACGGAAGCCGGCAGACCAAGCCACATGAAAGTGCGCATTCAGCGTCTGCTCTGCCAATAATGCAAGCGTAGAAGAAGAAATGTGCTGTTTACCTGTGAAAAGAAAGAAACAACGAAAGAAAAATGTCTGAGGACTTCAGTGTTGAGGAAGAGCATGAGTTCTTTGCCGAGCTGAATGCGCTGGTTTGGTCTGCCGGCTTCCGTAGCGTCGTGAGCGTGCATGTGCGCGCTTTCAGGAAATCCTATACACTACTGTTTATGCTCTAAAAACATTCTAAATGACTTCGTTTCGAGTAAATTCTGGATGCTACCCACTCAGGACACTTGCAATACATTGGAAGAGCAGTATGGAGGAATATTGACACGTTTTTTGTGGACTTTTATGGACCTTTCTGTCTCGGTCACCATAGACCTCCATTATTTGAATGTCAGCAGACAGCAAGAAGCCTCCCAGATCTCCAGATGCATTTGAGATATCAAAAAAGTACTCTAGAGTGTTGTTCAGCATGGGGGTGAGTAGAAAATGAAGGCTAATCATGTTTTGGGTGTAGTATTCCTTTAAATCCTCCAGTAAAAAAACAAAAATATAAGACTCATTTTACAGCAGAATATACTAAAGTATGTCCACGTCTAGTGAAGGTGAAGAATGATTAAGCTTGTATGTATGGGGCACAGTACGGGTCGGTTGTCTGCGGCGGTAGGGGGGCACTGTACTCGACCAAAATCCTGGACGAATCTTGAAATTCCTCCCAGACATTTTTATAGGTATGAAATGTAGGACACATCCGGGAAAAAGGAGGACATCGGGTCACCCTACCATATCAACAATTTGATGTTTCAGTGAGTGAGTGCTTGTTGCTATGATGCATCTTTGCTCAGCAGCTTTGCTTGTTGTAAACCAACCAATCAGTGCACAGCTCATCTAAATATTTATGAGCATACCATTAAAGATAGAAACCCTGTCTAGGGCTTTTAACCAGGCTTGCTTTGGGGCTCACAGAACAGCAAATTGCCATTTTCAGCCCAACCAATCTTACACATCCTATTCAGAGACCTTAAGGACCAGCACCAAATACCCTATAGAATCATTCTATCACCCCTTTAACAGTTGACTCCTGTTATAATAGACTAAAAGCTTTCCGTTTGTGTTTAGCTACATAGAGAACAGCCAAAACAAAATAAATGTTATTATGTTTAAAGTAAAACACATTCAAACCTATTAGGATATTTAAATAGAAAGAATTAAATCATCAATAAGTTGTATCAAAACAGAGAATAAACCTCAGTAAACTGCTGAAGATATGGAGTCAGATACAATCAGGAACTCCAGCTGGGACAACAAATTGGCAAAAAAGGCAGAAGCATCTCCCAAGTTTTCTGGCATATCAGTAGCAGTTATATTCACTGCATTATGAGGTTGGGACTCTTAAAGTCAAATGACCATTCCCTCTTGACTGAGACAGAAAAACATACTCCTGATTGGGACATCCCTCTTAAATGATAAATTCTGGCCCCATTATACGTTTCCAGTGTGACATGTGCCGAGCGGTGCCATCTTACTGTAAAGATCCTGAGACCGGTGCGATCAAATGCGATACAGTACACTGCAGACAGATGCCCCAAGATTCGCCTATGCAGACGCATGTGCTCATAGGTGCTGACAGGACTGATGGAGCTGAAGCACTGCACTCCGGTCAGCTCCCTCCCTCGATGTACCTTCACTGGTAAAGATAAAAAAACATGCCAGAATGCAGAGATTAGAAAAAACACACAAAAACACACTTAAGAAAAGAGCTGAAACATATTTTAATACAAAGAAGGTTGGTCACTCTTTTGGAAAGTCTTCACAAAAAGAAGTTGAGAAAAGTCCTGCCAGTTCGGCATTTAATATATCTAGTTTGCATCTGCTGCTGTGGGAAACTACTGAACAGATTTCATGGACAGCAGGTCTTCTTAATGCAAGAGAACATTGTAGTAAAACAGCAAACATCAGTGGCTTTACACCTGAAAGTAATATATTGTACCTACAAGCTCCAACAAAATAAACAAGATTCTGTGTATATCCACACAAATATAGCATTCTCAAACTAAGAGGCTTCTGTTAGGATATTTTGCCCCAGTTTCCATGTGTTTAACCAAACCAGTCTGTCCAATAAATGTACAATTTTCATTCATAACCACCCATGTTCCCTAGGAACTGTCATTTTACTTCATAATCAAACTTTTTAATTAAAAAGGCTTTTAATAATGCTGAAACATTCACTTAAGAGGCAACCAAATGTAGGTTGTTTACAGGTAAGTTGATGGTGCAGAGAGTACACTCAACCTGTTTATTGGTAACTTCATAGCTATAGAAACCAGCCCAAATACCCTAGAGACAAATATGTGCATTGCTTTTCACACACAGGTGAGATTTCAGAGGAAGCACTGCTAGAAACAGGTTGGACAAGAATCGATGTGACCCTGCATCATAAAAGGTCCCTCAATAAACAATGAAACAGGAAAACTGTAACATCAGTAGTTCCACAAGGATGTTCAAAACCATTTTGATGTCAAACTAGGACCAACACCACTCCTCAGCCAGAAAATTACTAATGAGGCTTCTGATGCAAAACTGAAAAAAAGAAAATGTAATGTAAATCCCTTTACTGTCCCACAATGGGGAATTTCGTTCTCTGCATTTTGACCCATCGCCTTGTGAGCAGTTGGCTGACATTCTGTGGCACCTTGGGAGAAATCAGGGGCCAAGTGTTTTGCTCAGGAACCCAGAGGGGAGGCTGTGGGGATCGCACCAGGTAATTGTAACCTTCTTAAAACACCAGCACACTGCTCTAACCACAAGGGCAGCAAAAACTTCCACAAATAAAAGCAATCATTAAGAATTACAAAAAAAGTAAATAAATATTCAAGCATATAAAAAAAAAAATAATACAGGGACCTACCCTGGTGTAGAGGTTGCTTCTGGTTCAAAGGCCTCTCTGGTGGTCTGCCCCGATGAAGGGCTGCATATGACGAAGCTTTGAGCTGCACACTGTCGCAATCTGAAAACCAGAAACACAGAAATCATAAAGTGCTTCTAACTGCCATATAAATGAGCCCAACAGACGTGTCGGTCCAGAAAAAAAACAAAGATGGAAGAAAAAAAACAAAACAAAACGTCTGAACCACCTTTTCATTTGAATAAATGTTTCATGCAAACCAATTGAGCTCCTCGTGCAAACTAAGGTAACAAAAGCCCAGCTCATATTTCTGACTATAAAAATACTTAAAGACTGTACCTTTTGCAGTTCGAAGCATGGACTGTTTTCCAGACCCCAGGAGGGAGTGCACACCCGGGACACATGATGGCACCTCTTTGTCCAAGATTGGTCCAATTTGCTTACATATCTGTAGCAAATGGTCTGGTGCAACATGTCTGTTGGCAGCAACCTGTCAGGGCAACAAAGCCAGGGCTGTGATTTGAAAATCAAGAGATTTGGTCCACTTTAAATCAAAAAAACAAAACGCCATGAAATGTGTAGTATGCTACATGTAAGAGTCCGGCTCTGGCCAGGTCCATCTCGTAATGCAATGAGACGTTTTACCTTCCAGACATAATTTTGTTCACATTTAAAAATTCATGTTTTTACAATGAAATTTGTGCTAAAGGTTGCGATACAGTATGAATTCCTGTAACTGTCTGTTACATGGTTGTATAGAGTTGCTACCAACAAGTTATGTAACAGTATAACCATTTATTGATTAATATCCATAAATAAATAAAGACTAATAAATGCCACCAGAATATGAACAAGTCTGACTTAAATTGTATCCATTTTTGACATCTGCCCTTCTCACTTCTCCAATGGTTGTCCAACAATTCCATTTAAAGAGCTTTCTAGACAATGTTTTGATAGGATTCACTTAACTAAGTCTACGTTCACACTGCAGCCTGAAGTGACCCAAATCTGATTTTTTGGCCCATATGCGACCTGTGTCTGATCTTTTCATGGCAGTCTGAACAACACAGATCCGATTTGTTCCAATACGACCCAGGCTACTTGGTTATTTGGTCCTGAATCCGTTACAAAACTGATCTTTTCAAATGTGACCTGCGTTTGAACGACCAGGTCGCATTCATCCGACCTGAAAGCCATTAATACCCGACAAATGTCACTATTCTGGGTCTTGCTATGAAGAAGGGGGTAAGAAAAACAACAACCATGGCGGACGATGATGCGGAGAGCAGTATTTATGTTTAACCATCTTGAAAAGATTGTGTTTTTCTGGTTAAGGCACTACCATCCATGTTTACTCCCGTAAACACAGAGCACGCTGGCCTGTGATGTCATTGCGTCCTCTACTGCGCATGCGGGACACATGCGTTGTATGACTGCAGTTCACACAGGAGATCACATACAAGTCGCATATATTTGAAAATGTGAACGGCAACGCAAAAAAAAAAAAAAAAGAAAATGGAATTGAGCATCAAGGCCTGCAGTGTGAATGCAGCCTAAATCTTCTTCCCAAAAACATATTCAACAAGCAAATCTGAGAATCTGCTGATTGACACACAGAATCACACAAATGGGTGCATCTAACACTGTGTGCATGTTAGATAGGAAGGTTGTTACAAACCAGTGGGTTTTTATTGTTCTTGAAGCTTGGACTGATAAATTGGTTGCCACATATTATTCTTCCTGTTAGATTATTTATTTATGCGCCTGTAGCTCTTTGATACACTGAATAAGGACATTTGCTGAATTGTTTGTAAAGGACACTGACATTTTATTAAACATATTCATCCAAATGCAACTCTTAAAGGTACGGTATTAATAATGATACAGATTTGATAGTGATATATGAAACTGGCATTGAAGAGTGACAGCAGTCAAAGACGAGGTGCTATAAGAGCTTTCCTAAAATGAAATACAAATAAGATGAACGTATTCATTTATAATATATACATATATGTGTGTGTTTTTTCCTCTATATATTATGCAATAAAATTCAGATTTCTGTTTTTGATTTTAAGTTGGAAGACAAATGAATACACAGATTCAAAATGATACAGAAGGAATGTTATGGGTCTAACTGATTTACAGTTTATGTTTATTTTTTGCGCTGCATAGATTTTGTTGTGCGCTGAGAGCAGTGTGGAACTGAGCGAGCGCGTAACTTAGAGCCAACATTGCTGCCCCTTTTTCTGAGCTGTAACTATTTCAGTTAGCAATAGCTGTATTTAGCTCAAATGGCTTTAACAACCTAAAGTTATGGGGACACTTGTTTGCGAGTTAGAACAGTTAAATCTGTGCCTCAGAACTCGAGCTCTATTTATTTCTATAGTACCAATTGATAACAAATGCACCTTTGCAGGCAAAACATTCCATCCAGTACAAGTCTAAAATAGACAGCTCAAAATAAGTTCAAATACCCTCTTAGTAATATTATAATGGAGAAAATTCAGTTTATATGCCAAAAGGTTAAAGGACTTGGGTGATTTTTTTCAAGTAAGTTCTTTTAAAGAGTCTCTCAAGCACTTCCTCCATGTTAGGCATAAAGCCAGCATCAATCAATTTAATACTTTGATGATCTCAAAAGGAAATCAAATAAGTGAGATAATTCCATTTTTCATAATGTTGAAAAGCAATGCTGTCTGTAAGTCTTCATGTTAAGATTCTTGTTAGTGTTGATCTAAAAAAAAACATTTTCTGTGTTGTAAATAAAATAAATTAATTCAAAATTTCTAACGTTTAGTATGCTCCCAGCGTTTATTTAAATTCAGTAACATTTTCATGTGTTTCTCACCCCCTTACTCTTTAAGGCGGGGTTTGTATGCAAATTGTCTATTTCAAAGGACCAATCACAGCGCACCTCACAAGCAAAATAACGCAGAGACAAAGAAACTTGGCTTCTGATTGGCCGAGAGAGCTTTCTCAGCAAACAGACAAACCGAACAACCCACCCTAAACTGCAATACGACAGCTGGTGGCAAAATAAATAAATAAATTCCATCCGAATGTGTTTTTAAAAACTTGACGATAAAAGGTCTATTTATTTGAAGGGGTTTATTATTTATAGTTGATAAAAAGTTAAAGATCTATATCAGTGATCCAGAAGGAAACAGAACAAAGACCGTAAACAAGAACAGCGCGTGCAGCTAACTCCGACTCCCCCCCCACAAGACAATAACAAGCATCGGCAATGAACTTAAGACCATTAAATCACATCTTACCACATCTTCGTATGTTCTGGGATGTTCGTTTCCCAGCCAGTCCAATCTCCCGGGTAGGAGCTGTGGAAAAAAAATTATAATAAAATATCGTTAAAGCGGGCTAACTGTAAAGATTGAAGCAGGTACACGTCCACTACAAAAGTGGGTGATGTCAAATGAGTAGGAGGAACGGGGTATTAAAAAGTCCAGAGAGTTCAGCAAGTTTAAAAGCAGTCAGCCTACAGCGAGGCAGCTAGTTAGCCGTTACCTAGCGAGGAGATAACCAGAATACAGACCTGATATTCCTCAAGCTCACTCGCTAGGACCTGGGGGGGAATTAAAATGCAGTTCAGATCAGGATGCCTATTAGCTATTATCCAAATAGCTCATCAACTATGTCGTGATCCAACAAAGTGTGCCAGTCAAAGCGTGCCAGCTCACCTCAGCCGCTCTCCGACACGGACCCGTTGTTAGAAAACGAGAAATCAAGTAATATAGCTCTAAAAAAGGAACAGTGAGTACATTAGTGGCCAGGAAATCACTCTGAGAACCAATTAGCACTAGTGATGCTGATGTAAATCAGGCTATTTACTTGTGCGGCTTACCCGACTCAAGGAGCGAAATGTTCCGACTTTTGGCCATGGAAAAGGCCGTTATTTGGAGAGGTTGAACAATCTTCAGACCAACTTTATGGCTAAAGAAATTTCTGATATATTTATTTAATTTCGGTTACACGTCGCTGACCCCCCTCCACGGTTGCTCCCGCTTTCTGTTCAGCCTGTTTGCAGTCGCCATTGGAAGGATGAGGCCTTGGCTGTACAACTTACTTCCGCCACGGCGGAGTAACACAGGAAAGGGGGGGCAGGGAGGGAGGAGCACTCCGGCAACAAAAGACACCGCCGCACGTTAGCTTGGGAGCTGTAGCCACAATAGTAGTGCACCGATGTACAAATATGAAACTGTATTCGACTGTGCATCTATATGTATCTAACTAACAACGCACATTTTTTTTTTATTTCTACATAATCAGAAAGCTGTGTGTGCTGCGCCCTCCGCCGGTCTAGTTGCAAGGTCGTTAGTTCTGTATGTGACGTCATCGGTAATGGATGCCATCTCATTTGATCTAAATCTGTCAACTTTCTACGTTTACTGGTTAAAGTTAACCTGCAAGACTCGATTTAAATAATTGTAACTTTATTTATTTTATTTCAAATTTAATTAATAAATAATTGTTGAAAGCTATTTTTTTTTTCAATCACAGACCCAAATGTAATATTTTTATAAATGTTTTTGGTGAATTACAAGCTCATACATTTCAGGAAGTCAGTTCAAATATTATATCATTTTTATATTAAATTATAACTGGTCCCAGTGATAAGAGGACTGTAAAGTGAACTCTCCAAAATTGACTAATTGTAACCTCTAGCCCAGGGGTCACCAACCTTTTTAGGCTGAGGGCCACTTCAAGGGTACTGAGTCTTGGAAGGGGCTACAAATACTGACCCATATGATGCGAAGGTGAGCGCACCCCTAAACTTCATACATTATAAGCATCTTTTTTTTCTCCCCAGCTTTTATTGTCATTACACTGTCACAAGTACAGAGCAATGAAATGAACTCTGCATTTAACCCATCACCTTGGGGTGCAGGGGGCTGCCATTGTGCGCTGCCTGGGGAGCAGTGTGGGGTAAAGTGCCTTGCTCAGGAACCCAGGGTGGAGCCTATGGGGATTGAACCGAGTACCTACAACCTTCTTCTCAGAGCACAACCGCACTGCTCTAACAACTAGGCCAACACTCCCCTCTCTCTAATTTTTTTTAGACATTGTCATTTTGAACAGAAATAAAATAAAATTTCAAACTGCCAACTGGCGAGTTGTTCTATTTTCAGAAGACTCTGAGGGGCCCCCATGTTGTCCTTGAGGGCCCCTTGACCCTGCAGGCATTATGCTGGTAACCCCTGCTCTAGGCCCTTTCATGAGGTAAACAGTAAGAACTATAATTTGTAGAGAAGCAGCTACAAACTATTTTATCAATTCTGTTCAGCCTTTTAACTTGTAACTCACCTCACTATATGAAGGAAACACACTCTGATCATGCTAGTGAAGTCTGAAACGACAGCCTTCTGAAAACAGCTAGAATAAATGCAAATTATACAAATATAGTGAAGAAGGAGATGGCCTGAAGCCTCTTATCTACGTGTATGACCGGTAAGTCCTGCACTATGCTGAAGGAACTACGATAGGAAGCGAATATGCTCCTTTACCTCCTTCCTTAACGCCAGCACTATTCGGACAGCACTTGTCATGGTGAAGCCAGAGCATCCTCAAACAGGACATGGGATGTAACAATCAGAAAGTTTATAATAAGCCATTTTAATCCAAGAAAGGATGAGCACTTTTTACATTTTTGTCCTATTGGTCAAAAGTTATATTTTTAGGGTAAGATTAGATTTGTTCAATTTAGAAATGAACATTTCAGAGTCTGGATGAAGGCTGAAGAGTTACAGGATCCATCTTGCCTGAATTTGTACTTATTTCTAGACCATTTTTTCATTGTCAACCATATACCGGTTGATGTTCTACCCTATTAAAGAAACCTTGTTCCACAATTCCAGATGATTACTTCCTATTAATTAATTCATTTTCTTAGTTTTATAAACTAATGGTCACAGTGTCAAATTTAACTTTACCTCATCTAGAAAAACTATTTATTTTGGTTTGTGGCAAATTACAGGTTACAAAGAAATTGTCTGGATCAAACAAATTATTTTGATTGTTTTTTAGGTTTTTGTCAATAATACCAACTGGCCATAATAAAAATTAGCTTAAATGCAAACAAAACTAAGGGGTCTAATTTTAAATTGTAAGGAGTGGAAAGTATAGATAACAGCAAAAAAAAAAATAAAATAAAAAAAAAGTAAAGATTAGAAGTAAAGAGTTAATCTAAAAAAGAATTACTCAAGTAAAGCACAGATAGCCAAAAATTCTACTTAAGGTAACAAAGTATTTGTACTTTCTTACTTAACACCTCTGCTGGTATCACAATAAGTTTAATTGGCCAAACTAATAATTTTCCCTAACCAGTTTTTTTTATATAAAATTACTGAAACAAAGTAAAATAATAATAAAAAAAAAGTTGTTTTTGCATAACACTGGATTCATATGAAGAGTAATTTGCTGTGAATTGTACTATATAGATAAAATTAACTGATTTTTCCTGCAAACTGTCCAAAAGTAGAATTGTTTCCCCAGTTTTAGCTGGGTTTAGGTACTAAATGCCCAAAAGCCAATGCAAGCGCATCTTAAAATAAAAAAAATTAAGTAAATTAAGAGTTAGATCAGTGTAGTTCATTTCAGGTCAGTGTAATTCTAATTTCATCCCATAGGATTATTTTAATTTTCAGTTTTCATCCAGCTCAATCAACTATTAGTCCAGTTTACTTAATAACCAGTGCTTAATTGTAAACAAAACTTCAGATTTGCAGTAAGTTTTTTTTTAGTAAATAAAAGCATCCCAATAAAATATTTTTAAAGGGACAGTGTAACAAATCTGCCATTTTTATTAGCCAATATATAGTATCGCTTTCATTAATACATATTCTGTGAAAGTCTAATCACATGATATAAAAAAAAAGCTTAGATGTAGTGGTTCAGAAGGCTGGTGCACACAATGGGAGATGCCATCTTGTGATGGTATTTTTTAGTAGAAAAGCCAACTTGTCAGCCTTGTTTTTTCTGTTTTGGGAAATGATTTCTTGGTTGTCAAGAGTTAAAACCAAAACAAAAAAAAAACTGTAGATAATCCCATCTTCATCTTTCTGTTACGATGGAGGAACATCCATACTTTATGTCAAGACCAGAGCTAGAACCAATTATTTTACTAATCGATTAGTCTGTCAATTATTTGTTCAGTAAATCTGATAGCCACAGGTTCCTTCTTTCAAGGAGAGGAGTACCATATATATTTTAATACAGGTTTATAATAGGATTTTATGTATTTTTTTTTATTCCTTACTAACTTCCAAGCTAATTTTTTTTTATTCGAGAGAAGGAAAAAAATTCCTAAGAATCAATGCTTAGAATAAAAGATTTGGTAATATAGTTCTTGTTTTTATCAGTTATTATAAGTTCCACTTTTGGACAATCAGTAATTTTGACTGAGAGGGAAAGTCGTGGCAAGAAAACTCCCAAAGGGGTACACAAGACAAAAAAGGTAAATTAACCATTTCAAGTGCAAAAACAAGAAATGTTTTAGATGCTAGCTAGAGAAAGTTTGATTAGTGTTGACTGAAATTTTCTTGATCAAATTTCATACCACACAAAATGATTAGAGATAGATTCTTTACAGAAAAACTTTTAATAGGCATTTTATACCATGTTTAACCATAAAGGTATCTGAAAGAGAAAATCCCCACATCCCAACAGGATAAACTACCAAATATGTATCAACATTCTGCACTACTGCTTTTCAAAAGTACCAGAGGAAAAAACAAACAAACATGCTTGTCATGAACGAAAACATACACACAGAAGTGAAAGCTGAGCACCAAAGTTCAGATGAAGTAATGATTTAACTTCCAGGTCATTTTCCCACCTGCAGCATTATTTAGAATCCAGAAGAGCAACAATGATAGGGTCCCCCTAAAACAAACTCTTGTGCTCCCGAAACATGCATGATGCCTTAAAAACCAAATCCACGACGACAAAAAACCGATCCCTTCACAAAAGCTCTGGAAAGTATTTTAAAAATGCAACCGCATCCTTAAAAACAATGCAGTCTTAAGAAAATAGTGATAAAAAATATTCTCTGCATTTTACAACATAACAGACAGGAAACTGAACATGGAACCGACTCCTCTACTCCGATGCTTTCTCCTCCTCTTCAGGCTTGTCTTCATCCGTCTGATCCTCTGCTGCAGGAGCCTGTAGATTAATTAACATGTTAAGGAGTTTGTTCCTTATACATCAGGAAAAAAGGAGCAGAGTGAACCTTTTAGGTCCCAGTGGTAACATACCTCCTCAGCTTTGGCCTCTCCATTTTCTGCAGGAGTTTCTTTCTCTGCCTGGGCTTCTTCTTTCTTCTCCTCTGCCTTGGCCTTTGTTTCCTCCTTCACTTTTTTGGTCTTCGGAGGGGCCTGCAATGATCATCAATGCAAATCATTATGATATTGAAACATTATAAATGAGACATTCTTCAATCAAACAGCTTTAGTGAAGGTTGCCATTAGGTTACTGGGACCGCTACTTCCACTGGGACAATCAAAAGGGACCAACATATTGAACAACTTCCAGCAAGTTGTAGACACACTAAAGAGCTTTGATAAGACCCACTAGAAGTGAGCGATGCATTTAGGGCCTAACATTGTTGTGTTACAGGAACAAGGGAATTTGATATTTTTTAAATTGCAGAACAAAATGTTATTATCCACATCCTGGTCTAACTTTTCTGTGGAGAGTTCAGTGCAGAAAGCTTCGACTTTGACAGTGGTGGAATTCTTTCTACATCTCTATCTACGGAGCCCCTAAAGGGACATGGAGGGAAAAAATAAACTTTTGAGAGATCTCGCAAAAGTATTGCAGGATCTCGCAAAAGTTATTTTCTCCCCTCCATGTCCCTTTAGGGGCTCCGTATCTATTATATATACAGTGAGGAAAATAAGTATTTGAACATCCTGCTACTTTGCAAATTCTCCCACTTGAAAATCATGGAGTGGTCTGAAATGGTCATGATGGGTGCATGTCTACTATGAGAAGAAAAAGAAGAAAAAAAGCCCCAGAAAGATATGATTTTTTTCTTTATGCCGCTAATGACCTCAAACAAGTGCATCTGATTTAGGATAATAAATGGAGCGAAGGTGGATATTTTAAAGGCAGACTAACAGGTCAAAGAATAATGTTAACCTGAATTTATACCATATCCACATCGCTCCACTGCGGTGCGCGAATCCTACAATAAAAGCCTGTCATTAAACAGAAGTCAGACTAACATGACTTAATCGCACGATTTTTAAAACTGGTTAACGTACATTTTGTTGTTTGACACCCTGAAAGTTGCACTGTTCCCATACTTAGAGTGAGTTTAGAGAAGCTATTTTGTAGCTGATTTTGGTGTATTTAATACTCAATTGTTATGTACAAATTCCCAAAATAACTAAATAGAACTAATGTTTGATATTCCTAATATTAAATTTGATAATGCATGAATTCACATAAAGTTTACCAAAAAAACAACAACAACAGACTTAACGACACTGATCGTTAGGCAAAAAACAGGACAGAGCAGAATTGTGCGCATGCGTAGGCAGCGAAAATGCTCTGTGATTATAACGGCAGTATATTCCTGGCACAGCTTGCAGTTTAACGAGTGTAATTTTGGGATAACTACAAAAAAATTTATTCGTAAAAATTCCTGAAAAACCTTTAAGCATGAGCTGACTTCTCCATTTCAGCTGAAAGCAGCATGATGCCGCCGCCACATCATTCACTAGTTTAATTAATGTTGAGATATACAGGTCCCCTTGCACAAAAAGCCCTTTGGACACAGACATGAATGTTTTAATTGTGGTTTAATCTAATAAGAGCAATTTCTTCCATATCCTGGATGCATACTAGCAACACAGATCATCCACTTCCGATGCTCTCTGAAGGCAGTCGAGCAACATAATTCAACAGGTTTGAAGCTAATGTATTCTTACAACCACTAAAAAGTGCTCTATGTTTACTTTAAATATATGATGTCTGATTGAGATTAGTTTTACTAGACTTTGTTCAAAGGGGACTCTTTAAAATTGTGTAAATACAACTGAGATGCAGGTCCAGCAGATTCCATAAGTTTCTTCCATTAGACTGCTGAATGTTGTGTAAAATTGCTTTTATTGTATTTTATATATAAAGAAAACAAATAACTGAAAATTACACTCATGTTTATATTATTATTTTTATGTATTTTTTTACTGTTTTCAAAGCCGCACTAAAAAAAAAAAAAACCCGTGTAGAGTCGTTATTAATGAAATTTCTTTGTGTATACACTTGTGTACACAAAATGACAAAATTAATCTTTAGATTTGCATCATTAAAAACATTTTCCACTACTTAGCTAGTTAGTTTTAACATATTGTGTCAAATCCACATGAAACATAAAAAAGTGCAAGGCCTATGGAAGTAAAAACTATTGTTAATGAAAGTACATTATTGAGAGAGCAGTGTGGGTTTTTGGAGGGTCTCTGTGGCATTTTAATCATGACCAGCATTGGGAAGTTGTGCGTCGTACCTTAGTCTTCTCTGGTTTTGGCTTTTCCTGCGTCTCTTTCTGCAACAAACAGGAAATTTAACATGAGACAAAAATGCACTGTACAGCATACAGAGTGAATTTCATTCCCCAACCAGTTTGTGAATCTCACCTCTGACAACCTTTGAGACTTCCGTCTTGGCTAAAAGAAAACAGAGATTCAGAGTTAATTAAATCACTGATGAGTCGGGAGGGGGGGGGTCAGAAGGTTCTTTAGAAGCCCGCAAGCATGTATCATACCCACAAATGAAACATTAGGTATTAACCATGACTTACACTTGTAGTAGAGGTTAAAGATTTACCGTATACACAATCATGCAGACAATTTTCAGTGGCATGGTAAAACATATTTTTTTTTCATCCTTTAAACTCAATAAATCAGTCAGTAGGGGAGCTTTTAAATGCTTTGCCCCTCAGGCTGTTCTTTTTGTGCATTTTTTACTGGCCTGCAAGGACAGTCATTTCACCCTTTGCAGTCCAATTCATAAAAACATCCGAATAACAGCAAAAGAAATCCTTACCACCACGTACATTCAAATGCATGATTTGAACCCTTTAATTGAATTCCAAAAAGTAAGAAAAACAATAGAAATTCCCTTGCCAGCACTTCTGCAGCACTGTTTGCTGTTGCTTTTATAAAACACTCACCTCTGCAGCTGCATCTGCATCAGATGTTGCCTGTGAAAGTCAGAGAGAGAGGGGGAAGAAAAATTAACAAGCATCGAACAACAACCATTCAAGAGTGGGCCAAAGTGGGTGTGTGTGATGGAAAGGGGGATGGGCACCTCTGCCTCCCTCCCTCCCTCTGTATGATCAAGAACTTATGCAATCTGTAGGATATGTGAAAAAAGACGGTTTGGGTGCAACATTAAGCGAACCCTGCCGACCTAAAGATTTATTTTAGGTAGATTAAAAACCATTTTCGCCACTGTATTGTTTCCTCTTGAGTCGGCCAGATGTGTCGCTGTTGTTTTTTGGGCCACATTGGCTGCCATGATTATCCTAAAGCTGAGCGTCTCAGGAGCGAAAAGCACCATTTTACCAGCGAGCTCCGTCAAAGGTTAAAATCCCAACAATGCAGACTTGTTAAAAAAAGAAAAAGAGCGGCCATTGTTGGGATTATTTAACGCGAACAAGATAAAGACGAAGCTAAAAATGCCGACGGTTACACGACCCAGGAATTCCTGGAAGCCCTGAACCTGTAGGCTTCCAGCGCCTTTGTTTAACGCAAACATTGTTTGAGTTTGCAAAATAGTTTAGAAACCTGTTAATGCTTGCATTGCTGTAAGGGTATTTATATATAAAACTTATTAGCTGTAGAAAAACAGGGGGGAAAGGCGCCACTTCCACGTGTGAACACGACAACCCAGACTGAGCACATCTAACGTGGACTGCAACCAAAACTACCACACAATTAACATTATATTTAAAATGTTTACGGTTAAATAAAGTATAATTATTATTTAAGCTTACCTTTTTTCTTCCCATCGTTTTTTTTTTTTTCAGAGACAGTAGCCAGAATATTTTAATCTGGATTATGTGGGTCAGACGAACAGCTCGGACCTAAACCTCCAAGAAAGTGTGTTAGCGGTAATTTAAGGTCCAACCGGTACCAGAACAGGCTCGAACCGGATTGGTTCCCTCGCTCCTTCTGTATTTTATTCCTCGTCCTACCAACCCGGCAGGAAGAGCGAATCTCCGCCCAGTGTTCCCACTGATTGGCTTTAAGTTTAAGGCAGCATATTTTTGAAACACAACATCTTTACCTGTGTGGGCAGGATGGCGTGCCAATCAACTATCACTGTTTAACCAGGGGAACCGCACAAAGGGTGTGTACTGTATATAAAAAAAAAAAAAAAAGATTAGATAACATAAAGGCCCGTCATTAAATTATATTCTGAACCCTGCATCAAAACATGCACGTGCAAATAAACTACTTCCAATTGAAAATATGTGGCGTTATTTTAGTAATTTGCACTTTTTTTTGGTTTCTTATTTTGTAAAACATCCTTTTTATATAAGGAGCAGCATCTCCACCTGTAACTGTGCTGTTTGGTTGTGGGAGTAACACTGGGGGAAAAAAGATGGCGGCGGGCTGTGCCTGGTTCCTGGTACTGGGCTCCGTGTTTCTTTGCAATCTAATGAAAATACTCCTGCCTACCATTTCCACTTTTGTAAGTAAGAGGTTCTGTATTGCACATGCGAACTATCTAAAACGTAAATGAAGCTCCGGAATTGCTTATTTAATCTTGTAATGGCTCTCAAGCCAAGTGCTAAGCTAACCACTGTTAGCATGGCCTAGCTTAGCCTTTTCCAAAAGCTAGCACTGTTAGCCTCTCATGCTAAACAAAACCCAACAACAGCTGGCGCGCGTCCCCCCCCCCCCCCCCCCCTTTTTTTTTTATCTTTTACCCTCAGCCAGATCAGGTTACAGCACACACCTGATAAACGTAGGCTTTACCCAGTACAAAGATTTAGTAAGCTAACTGTTAAGCATCTGAGTTAGCTAGCTGGTCATATACGATACATTTATTTAAAATCGTGAAATGGGTTATAGTAAATGCATGCATCAAAAACTGGGTAAATATGTTTTTATAGGGGTAGCGCTGAGCTGGATCTCGGGTTCTTTAAATAAGAGAATAATGTTAATAATATAACATGTGGAGTACCTCAGGGATCAGCTGTGGGTCTAAATTGATAAATTAACATATTAATGATATTGATTATGTTTCAAAACTTTTAAAATGTTTCTTATATGCATATGATACAACTTTCTTATGCTGGAGACGGTATATATCATGTTAAAAAGTTTTTCAAATAGAACTAAAACAAAGATGAAGCTGTGGTTTAATGTAAATAATTTATGTCTTAATCTTGATACATCATAATTAATGTTATTTGGTAATAATGGTATAAATACTGGAACCAGGCTTGACCTACTTCGTGAAGTTAAGTTCTTTGTTGAAAATATTTCCTGGAAGTTGCATATTAATAGTTTGAAGTATAAATGGATAAAATAACTGCCGTAATATTAAGTAAAAGAATCATTGAGCAGAAAGGAACTAAATCTATTATATAATTCTTTGGTTGTTCCATATCTGACCTTTTGCATAGTAATATGGGGGAAAACATAGAGTGCCTGTCTTTATATTGCAAAAAAAGGGCAATAAAAATAATTGTAGTGAACTGAATTAGAAAACATTTGACTATTTATTTGATTAGTTTCTTGAAATTTCTGTAATTTTCAAAAGATATTTTAAAAAAGGCAAACTTATTATAATTTAATTACTTTGGTTTTTGTAAAACCAAGGTTAGAACTGAAAGATTGCGGTGTTGTCTTTCTGTATATGGAGTCAGTTTATGGGACAGTCTTGGTAAAGATATTCTGAAAGCTAAATCCATTACTATGTGTACATAATCTAACATAAAGTTAGTTTATTCTTTGCTTTATATTAATTCTTAGAACTGAAGTAACGGGAGAACATTGAACATTTTCTTATAGCTTTTTGTGAATTTTTATTGTTTTTCTGTTTTTAATTTGTTTATGAAGATGCAATTTGACATAGCGACGCACGAAAAATATGTTTTTAAGTTATCCAAGTTAATTTTCTGAAACCCTTAATGAAGACGGTAGAATCTAGACTTTAAAAACCCAGAAATCCACAGTTTTCTGACTAGATACCGCTGTGGATACATGAGCTCCCCACTGCAGCTTCTACTCAGAGAAAATCTTGTATCAGCAAATTTTTTGCGGTAGGCCTTCCACCTGTTTTACAAAGTCAAAACTTAAAGAAGCACATCCGGCTGAACAGCTAGTCTGAGCTAGTAATCAAAGCTTTTCAACTCTAGTCAACACCAAGTCTGTGGCTGCTATGGTCATCCCCTTTAACAGCTCTTTATTTATTTTGGCAGGTCACAGTTTAAAAAATATTAATAACATAGACTTACCCAGGACATCTATGGTTATATAATTTTTTTCTGTTTATAGCACTGCTAGGATTGATTGCTAAATTGTTTCTTTAAAGACACTGTTTGATTAACCTGAATATGTTTTTTATTCTTTCTTTTTACTCTTTTTTTTTTTTACTTTTCTTTTTTAGATTAAGTGACTTGTCTGCTTTTAAAGACGTTTTTTTCAATAAAAACTTCAGGAAATTCAATCAAAATAAAAGGCACATTAAGGAAATGTATATTTTTAGAATTCTTCTTTAATGTTTTACTTAAAAAAAATGCAAATTGAACATCCTTGGGTTCAAGGCAGAGAAATTACTGCTGCCGGTTTTAATAGGAATAAAAATGTTTAAGGTAACAAGGGTCTGAATATAAAATAAAACTGTGTAAAGGGAATCAGCTGACATTTACTCTGAGCGTAGAAAAAAAGAGGATCATTCATCAAATCTTTGGTAAAACATTTCCTGGTAGTATCCAATATTTTAAAACAAATGAATTTGTTCAATCTTTCTCTTTTTGCATACATTTTTTCACAGGTTTTGATGATACCATGTGAGAGTAGCTTTATTGTTCTGTGAGATAAAGTCATTTGCTTTGAAATGTTTATAACTGCAGCCATATTGGATTTTGAGGCTAGAGTTAATGATTTACCTCTCACTTTCTCACCCTGTATTCAAACCTTTAGTGACGTCATAAAAGTCAAAGTTTCAGTACTTGAACAAGTTTTGCATGTACTGAAGTGGTTTTGGTTACAATAAGTTTCAGAATCATTTCTCTGTTCTGAAATGATTCCCCCTACAGTAACATTCAGATGCTTTGTTTGCTCAGCAATCCTGTTTATGTTTCCCTTATAGCTGTCCAAGATGGTGCAGAAGGAGGCTGAGCAGGAGAGTGAGATGAGGACTGAAATCCAGCAGATGAAGAAGGAGCAATCGTCCATCAGTATGATGGATGAGTTTGCAAGATATGCCAGGCTTGAGCGCAAAATTAACAAGACTACAGATAAGCTTAAAACACATGGTAAGTTGAAATGACACCTCTCAATAATGCAAGAGGAACATCTCACCTACTGTATGTTATTAGTATCAGTGTAGTTTAGGTTGTAACGATTTGCTGACAACATATTTTCTTATTTTCTTTTTGTATACGCTCGAAAAAAAACTGAGTTTATGTTGTTTAGCAAAGAAGAACAGATAAAACTTCCCGTCTTTTAAATTTTGATTGGGTCAGTGAGCTTAATATACAGTAAATGGCACACTTATTGGGATATTTATTAGTTTTATAAAAAAAATATATATAATTTTTTCCATCGGTAACATATAAAATTTTGTTGCTATATCTAAAAAAGAATAACTCTTTGTTGACAACATATAAAACCCTTCAGGGCTCACTAATCATTTTGCATCTGTACAATTAAACGTTTACAGTCTTTTTTCCCCCCATTTTAAAACATGGGGAGCAAGTTTATTTAAACGGCACTGCTGTGACACAAAGGGGGGCGTGTTTAGTTCTTCACAGCTGTTGCGTGAAGAACAACTGGCGGGTTCAGCAACTGCAGGAAGTGGCTGGAGGTTTGATGAAGTGGTTGCTGGGAGCAACAGGTGCCTGTTGTCCTGTAGTTGTTTACCTACGTTACATGAATTCTATAGAGGATTGGATTAATTTAAGGCTGCAACTAATGATGATTTTGCTAATCTATTAATCAGTTGAATATTTTTTCGATTAATAATCGTATTGCCAAAGGTTCTTTAAAGAAGAATTTTTATGACATTAAACTAGGTGAAACAAAAAATTTTCCACTTGAGGAGTTCTGGAAAGAGCATATTGACAGATGAAAAGTTTTTTTTCTATCTTAAATGGTAAATGTTTTATTATTATTATTTTTTTACAACGTTGGTAAAGTTACTGCGCTAAATGTGTTGCTCTGTCAGTTGAAGGCATGTTTTAATGTCTCTATACTTCAGTTAACAATTAATCGATTACAAAATTAGTTGACTATTTAATAATTAATTAATCTTGATTAATAGATTGTTTCAGCCTTAGATTAAATCATAATGTTTTTATTACTCAGGTTTAATGAATGTTATTTTGATTTTTTTTTTTTTTTTTTTTACGTTTGCAGTACAGTCGCGAACGGCTCAACAAGCCAAAATGAAATGGGTTGTGAACATTGTCTTTTACATCCTCCAGGTAGGTGGACACTACAAATAAAGATACAATATTAAGTTATATTATGACTGTAAAGCTCGAGCTGGTGACTTTATTAGATAAGAAATACAATAAATCCCTAATATAAGCTGTAAATCTCTGCGAAGAAGGAACTGATTTTAATTTTTACTGTGCGTTACTTTCGGTGTACAGGCTGCTCTGATGGTCTCGCTGATCTGGAAGTACTACTCTGATCCAGTGACCGTTGTTCCCAGTAAATGGATTGCCCCTGTGGAGCGACTGGTGGCTTTTCCAACAGGAGTGGCAGGTAGGTGGTGTGCTTTTCTTTTTTTATACTGTATGACACAATCCTCATATATTAATGATGTGCATATATAGGTTATTTTGTGTGTTAAATGCTGCTCTATATCTAAATATTTAAATGTAATCAATTCTTATTACTTGATTTGTTTCAGGATAATCTAGAGTTAGCCATCAATGTATGAGACTACAGAAGATACTATTATTGTTATGAATCGAATTTTAGTGTTGTCTAAACCAGGCATCCTCAACTTTGGTCCTCGAGGCCTGCTGTCCTGCAGGTTTTAGAGGTTTCCCTGCTTTAGCACAGCTGATTAATGTGATTGCAGTAGACCAAAAGCCTTAATCAGCCTTCAATTAAAATTTAGCTGTGCTGAAGCAAGGAAACCTCTAAAACCTGCAGGACAGCGGGCCTCGAGGACCGAGGTTGGGGATGCCTGTTCTAAATGGCTAACAGGTTGGACCTTTTGATAAATCAAACAAAACAATAATGCTCCGTTCAGACGGCAAGCGCTGGAAGCTGCAAAAAAGCTTTTGCTGCTTCATTTTAATTTTTCATATAAAGGTCAGAACAGCTTTGACGCTCCTGAAGCGAGTCCAGTAATGGCAGAGAGTGGCTTTGTTATATTTACTGGTATAAGTGGGTAAAAAGTATTAAAAAAAATTTTTTTTTTTCAACATTTAAGTTAATTTAGGCATTAATAACCTGTTTCAGAGGAGTGATCATGGCGATCTGCATCAGCATTGCTGTGTCTGTCTCCCTGCCTTTTGCAGGGCGTCGCGTGTGTCAGATGTTCATAAGCTCACCAGGCACTGCTTCAGCTGCTCAGATTGTGCTCCTGCTACTCAGAGCGCGCTGCAGGAAATTTGCTGCGCCTTGATGCGCGCAAGCCATTGACTTTGCATGTAAACTAGCTGCTTCCGCTGCCTCTAGCATGAGCGGTCTGAACGTAGCGTAACAGTGGATCACAAAATGGAGAGAGCGCACATTAATTCACCTCATTCAATCTCAAGGCATGGCTGCTAAATGCACTAATGTATCGGTGAATGGAGAACGTATCGGACAGCTGAAAAATAAAAGCCACTGCATCAGTCTAAATGTACTCTGTTCAGTTTTAAAAATGAAAATATGTCGACTTGAAGAATGCTATTGCATAACCGTGCACTGTGCAGAGATGAACGGTTTAACATCAGTCAAAATAGAGCAGATTTTAACAGACAACATGGTCTAGTCAACCAGGAACTAACTTGTAACAACTTCTAACCCTAACCCTAACTAACAAGAACACTTCTATCAACATCTGCAGCTGTTGATACGATAAATGATGACAGCCCAACATTGGATTCCACTCAATGTTTAACCATATATAACCCATTTAAGAAATGTTTGGATGGACATATTGACACATTCTTCATATTTTGGACCATGCTCAGTTGGAGCATGTCAAGTTCTGATAACTCTGCTTATCCTCACAGAGCTGTTTTTGTTTTCTTCCAGGTGGAGTGGGAATCACTTGCTGGCTGGTGGTTTGCAATAAAGTAATAACGTTGGGTCTGAGTACCATCAGCTAGAGAAACGCTCCGTTTGGTGATTGAGACAAGAAAAAAGGCTCTTCTGAGACTGCAGTATTAATTTATTGTTATACTTTGTTTCTTTCTGTTTTTGTTGCATCTTTGATTTCTTATTTTGACAGAAATGTGTTTTAAAGGAATAGTACACCCAAAACATGATTAGCCTTCATTTTCTACTCACCCCCATGCTGAACAACACTCTGGAGTACTTTTTTGATATCTCAAATGCATCTGGAGATCTGGGAGGCTTCTTGCTGTCTGCTGACATTCAAATAATGGAGGTCTATGGTGACCGAGACAGAAAGGTCCATAAAAGTCCACAAAAAACGTGTCAATATTCCTCCATACTGCTCGTCCAATGTATTCCAAGTGTCCTGAGTGGGTAGCATCCAGAATTTACTCGAAACAAAGTCATTTAGAATGTTTTTAGAGCATAAACAGTAGTGTATAGGATTTCCTGAAAGCGTGCACATGCGCGCTCACGACGCTACGGAAGCCGGCAGACCAAACCAGATGAAAGTGCGCATTCAGCGTCTGCTCCGCCAATAATGCAAGCGTAGAAGAAGAAATGTGCTGTTTACCTGTGCAAAGAAAGAAACAACGAAAGAAAAATGTCTGAGGACTTCAGTGTTAAGGAAGAGCATGAGTTCTTTGCCGAGCTGAATGCGCTGGTTTGGTCTGCCGGCTTCCGTAGCGTCGTGAGCGCGCATGTGCGCGCTTTCAGGAAATACTATACACTACTGTTTATGCTCTAAAAACATTCTAAATGACTTCGTTTCGAGTAAATTCTGGATGCTACCCACTCAGGACACTTGGAATACATTGGACGAGCAGTATGGAGGAATATTGACACGTTTTTTGTGGACTTTTATGGACCTTTCTGTCTCGGTCACCATAGACCTCCATTATTTGAATGTCAGCAGACAGCAAGAAGCCTCCCAGATCTCCAGATGCATTTGAGATATCAAAAAAGTACTCCAGAGTGTTGTTCAGCATGGGGGTGAGTAGAAAATGAAGGCTAATCATGTTTTGGGTGTACTATTCCTTTAAACTGTGAAATTTTCTTTTTAATAAAAGATGAAAAACAAATACTTTTTTTTTTTTTTTTATTTCCACCTTTTTCTCATAAGACCAATCAGGTAGATCTGTGCTAAATTTTTAGTCAAAATAAAGCAAAACATGAATTTTAAAATTGAATTCATTACAACTTATTTACAGGTTTATCCACAAAGCCTTGGTTTTTGTGACTCAGCTCCTCTTACCCCGGCGTCCTTGGCTCTCTCCAGGACTTTCTTCCAAACATGTTTTTTCATTTTCTTTAAAAAACGCAATATGAGAATAAACACAGTTTACAGACACTGACAATGTTTCTTTTTTTTTTCTCTCAACATGGTTTCAAACCTGCAGCATGTTTACCTCTTCATGGGCCGTCCTCTGTGCTGTCATTTAATCGGGAGTTTTCAGGAATGTTTATTTCTGTTTTTCTTAATAAGCAATGACTCCTGCACTTGATTGTCAAAAAGCTGAGATGCTGAAGAGACACAAGAATACCATACATAAGAAAGATTGGTACCTACGGTTTCCATTGGCTTTAATAACATTCAGCATTGATCAAAATACGTTCAATATTCCCTATTAAGGTACAATAATAAAACTCACAGAGTTGTGCTGGTGTTTGAGCATCTCCTCGTGTGTGGAGCAATTCATCCGTCTGCACCGTCTTTTTCTCTTAACCTACAATTGTGAGTCCAAAAGCTGAGATGCATGACTCCGTGGCTAAAGGTGATTGTTTTTGCACATTACCGTTGATGCTGGGTTCTTTAACAATCCTGTGGTAATAAATGTTATGTTTGTGCACTTTTTTAAAATTTTTTTTAGCTATTCCACAAGAAAAAAGAATTATCATACATGTATAATATATATATCAATACTCATTGAGACTAGAGAGTGATTCAAAAAAAGTAAAACATGAACACACGGGTGGGGAGGGGGTATGTTTAACTTTATCCCAGTCAGTTTTTGTTAGACAGTGGCTCATTCCCTCCATGAGGAGGGTAAGAAACTAAAGGTAATAGAAAATAGGGTGCTCAATTGATAGGGGAATCCACAAGGCCTTGCCTGCAGCTGGTGTCACAGTTTGAAGAACCACCAGCCTGCAAATCGGCTTCACCATCTGAATCCCTTGCAGTAACCCCTCTCCTATGCCAGATGCAAGTTGAGAAACGTCATAAACTGACCTAATTTAAAACTTCCTTGAGGTCCAGCATGACGTTTTCACAGCCATCTTGCAGAGCTGTGTCATCTGCTGGTGCAGGCCCACTGGGTTTTATCAAGTCCAAAGTCCATCCAGCAATCCTACAAACCTTCCTCCCTCCTTATGCTGATAAGCTTTATAGAAATGCTGATTTAATTTTCCAACAGCGCCTTGTGCCTTCCCCTAATGCCAAAAGCATGAATACCGGTTTTACTGACCACTGTTCATTGATTGCTCTAATTTGGCCTGGATGGAGGACTCTGATAGGGATCCGTTTTATGGTGCTCACCTGGAGATGATTATTTAGCAGAAGGTTGTGCTTTTGCAGATGACTGGATGAGTTTTTGGCCTCTCTGACCTTTCTGTGTTCTGCTTCTATTTGACGATTGAATGATTTGCCCCATGCTCTAAAGTAAATGAAAAGAAATGCAATGCGGTACCAAATAAAAGGTTTCATCTTTACAACTTATATCAGCCTAATTCTGCATGCTGGTTTTGCTGCAGATGCTGCAGGGCCTCCTTATTGCTGAAGAGCTTTCTGCCTGAGGCCTGAAGCTGCCTGGCCAGGTTGTCAAGACACTTGTGGGTTTAACATAGCAAAGTCAGAGGGTCTTTGGTTTTATTTCTGTGCTTGGCTAAAATCTGTAAACGAGAAAATTTTCATGGTGACATTCATGATTCTGCTGAAGTGAAGGTATTTTTTTTTTTGGAGAACAATATACATGCATGTTCATTTGCTCACTCCAGATGGAGGTGATACTGCAGCACCTGAAGAGCTGGGTTTAACATATCTAACCTGGGAGATGCTATCCTCTGAGTCTCGGAGGTGTTTGTGCGCCACCGTGTGGCAACGCTGGGTTTCTTCAGCAGCTGGTTTTCAGCTTTGGCTTCATTCAGCCACTCCTGCAGATCTCTTCAGGACCCAAATGCAGCTCATGTGGTTAGATGGCTTCTTTGGACCCTCTGGGGGCCTAACTGGAGGCAGCTTCAGGGTTTCACGCTTCACCTTCCTGATACCTTGGAACTTCTTCTCTAAATGGAACAGTGAATCCCTTTAGCTGTGGCAGAGTGGATTACATCAAAAGAAAAAGTAAACAAAAAACATCTGTTACTTGATTGGCAGACTGTTTTTTTGCGTGCAGCTGATCCCCTGGGGACCTGTCAGTTCTCCGTTCACGACCAGATGGATACTGAGGACTACTATGAGAAAGATTTGGCATTATAGTTTAGAAAAAAATAAAAATAAACAAACAGATCTCCTTTTTTTTTGTCAAAACAAGAATCAATGATTGAAAATCTGAATTATTTAGAATAATCCAATGTGATCTAGTACATTATCCATTCGGAAAAAAAGATTGTATAAAATAGTTTATCTTTGAAACATTAATTTGATTTTATAAAAACCAAAACACATAGCCAGCTCAAACTATTTGTAAATGGAAAAGTGTGGGTTATTGTTGTACTAAGGTTTTAAGAAGTTACATTTATGAAACTGCTTGATGTATTGGCCAACTGTTAACGTTAAACATAATTTTGATAATATGGCAAATAAAATGCCATAGGGAGCAAAGTTTATCCACAGAAAGACAATTTGCCTGCATAGCTGATGATATAGCTCTGAACTATTAAACAACCACCAGTTCATTATGTTTGAGTTACCATTAATCATCAGAATAGCAAAAAGGGTAGCCATTCATTATAACAAACTGTTGAAAGACTTGTTTCTATTTAATATTAAACCAAAATCCAAATCTGGAAAGAAAAAAGAAGAAACGAACACAGAAATAAATATATTTTACATACAACACTGATATAGGCTAACCATTGTGTTAGATCTGTTATATATTGTTCTTATAGTGGTAACAAAGATCATTTTAAATGAAAGTAAAAAAAAAAAAAGAAAAAAAAAATATATATAGATACACATCAGGAAAAAACAGAAATGAAAAACTAGAAAAATACCAGGGTCTCAGAGAAGAGCTGGAGAAAACCTGGAAGGTCAAGGCATCAGTGGTCCCCGTAGTCATTGGGACCCTTGGGGCAGTGACCCCCAAACTTGAGGAGTGGTTACAGCAGATCCCTGGAAATACATCAGACATCTCGGTCCAGAAGAGTGCAGTTGTAGGAACAGCAAAGATACTGCGCAGAGATACTCCCAGGCCTCTGGTAGAGGACCCTAACTTGGAGGAAAGAAGGTGGGAGACCGCCCGCAGTGGTTGAGGAGTTAAGTGGTAGAGTTATTTTTAAATATACATATGTATATAATAGAAATATATGTATGCTAACACTACTAGAATAATATATAACAGATATAACACAATGGTTAGTCTATACCAGTGTTGTATGTAAAATACATTTATTGCTGTATTTATTTCTTTAGATAGATAGATAGATAGATAGATAGATAGATAAATTGTAGAAGCATCAGTTCAGCATTTTGTGCCATTATGCAAAGCCAGCGACATAACATTAAAAATCATACAATAAACCAATATATGAATAGGTTTTTACTTAAGTCTTTATTATTTCTACAGGCAGGTTTACCACAAAAGTAGATTCAAACCCTGAAAATATGGCTTTTAGTTTCAGTGTGCCACCCCAATATTTTTAGTGGCCCCATCTGGCCCCCCCTATCAAACATTTCTGGAGGCGCCACTGCCAACAGCATATCTAAAATACTTCCCAAGAAACAGTAACTGTTTTCGACACAACTTTTGAGGGAAACGTCTAAAATATGCCATTAGTTTTAATGTCAAGCTTTGACCACCTTGTTTTGTAATTTTAAAAGAGGCTATGGTTGGTGATGATCGAGGCCAAAATTTCCTGCATTTAGAATCAATAAATAAACAAACGAAAGAGTAAATCTGTCCTCTCAA